GAAACCTTGGCTCATTATTTCTTAAAATAATCACACAGCAGTACTTGAATTCATGCAAATTGTAAAAGAAATGTAACATTGTTTTAAAAATTGCCTTTGGAATTGTTCCAGTCAATGCCATTTTTTCACTATGTCAATCTTTTCTGTTTTAAATGTATTTTTGCTTTGTTTTAAAGCATTGTAAAAGTTAGAGATACAATTGTATAATAGTGCAAGAATTTTTGAAGTGTTTTAATGTGAATGAAAAAATGGTTAACAATACTGTACTTGGGTGTAATTTACCTTCCTCAGTTATGTGTATGATTGTCTCCACATTTTAGGGGGGGGCTGTTGTGAACAGCTTCTCGGGCCTGGCCACAGCATCTTATCTCTCCACCCCCATGGTGGGTAATGGAAAAAGAGCCTCTCTGACACCTGTATCACCCTAGGCCCCAAACCACACCAAAGCTTTCTTTCTTGCCTGACATTCTACTAAACTCCTGGAATAGGTATATTTTTAAGATATTGGGGCCTGCAACAAGTTGTATAGGTGGCAGTACTTTTCGTTATCTGCCTGGCCACCTCTGGTTTTCTCTTCCTTGCTTGTCCAAAGTAACAAAAGCAACATTTCTTCATTTCTGGCACTGCTAGCCACCAACAATGGTGCAGATGGAAACACTTCTTTGCTACTATTTCCATTCCTTTCTGCAGTCTCATTGGGTTCCTGACACGTGCAGGCAGGATACTGGAATGGGTTGTGGTAGTAGCTGTAGCAATAGTTGTAGCTTCTTCTTAATGGTCTCTGTGAATCATACATGTGGGTGTTTCTGTGCCTGCCTGAAATTCCTTGGAAAGTTCTAGAGCTTAAAGAGAGAACTGTTAGAATAGCTTCTCCTACAGTACAGGTCCCTTTGCCTAGTAGTTATCCCTCAGTTCCCTTTAGCGCCACCACTGAGGAAATACCTAGGAAAATTTGTGAGAGCTATTATTTAATTTACCCTTTTGAAAACCTTGAAAGCCTTATTTTTTGTTGTCTCCCTCAGTGTAATCCTCCTCCCTTCCGTTGTTGGAGGTCCTTTTCATTAGTGTTAATTGTTCTAAGACCTTGGTGCCTTTTATGGCCCTAGCAGCTCACTTTAAAAAGTGCATTTCATGCTGCAACAAAAAACCCTCACTGAAGAATATTCTAAGTGCTTATACTGCTTCAATGAAGGGCACCAGTCACAGATTTGTAAGCACTACCACAAGCTAACGAAGTTTGCAGTTAACAACTGGCACTCCCATCTCAAATTTTGCCTGTGGGAGAAATCACTTTAGGTGGATTACTATGTCAACAAGAATCCTCACTTCCCATAGAGTCTATTTGTAAGTCACCCTTCAAGCAAACCGTCATGGAAGACTTCTAGTTGAAACCCATTGCCAAGACCCAAGACAATCAGAGACCAACAGAAGTTCAGATGGCACAGTTACCTTCTTTTGATACTGATGGCATGCCCTTGACCTCAACAATGCCATCAGCCCAAAACTGTATTTCTTTCTGGGCAACATAAGCTTCAGTGTTGAGAGCTACATTGGCATCAGTTTCTAAGAAAATAAATAAATCCATTGACTCAAATCCAACTTCTGCAAAAAACAACAACACAAACTGAAAGGTGCCCAAACAACAGCCAGTGGCTTCAAAGGCATCTAATGAACTGGGAGCAGCCAGACCCACGCACGACCTTTAGATAAGGAACATGATGAACTTGTATGCTTCGGTTCAGCCTCAGAGGAGATATTTCCTATTCAGGCATTGTCTCATGTTTAGTCAGTCTCCTAAGTGGAGTCAGCATACCAAATAAACATTAAAAAGCTTACCCAAGTAAGCTTTTTTCACTACAGGGAAGCCCATGGCCAGAAGATCCCTGCCTTCTGCAGGATGGAATTGATTACACAAGGAACACTCCCTACTGAAAGAGCCTCTGCAGGAGTGCACAAAATCGAGGCTATCAGTACAGAGTCACAAAGACCTGGCTCCTAAGCTGTCAGTTACCCAGAAACGAGAATAGTTGGTTTCATAGTCACTGTCTGATTAAGAACCTTGCCCAATGTTGAATGTGCTGGCTCATATAAGAGCCTTAAATAGTCACCACAAGCTTGAGGAGCCCCCTGGACATTGAGAGCTTCAGAACTGATGCAAAGGGAATGGTCTGTTTCACTATCTCTTCACCTTCCAAATCATCTACCTGGTCAACTTCGCATAAACTCAGCAGAACTCAGCAGCCAGCATACATCCTGCTCAGCACTCCAATAATCCAAGTGGTCTCAATGTTGACAGTCAACTATATCCTGAGATCAATATTCACTGTTGGCATCAGAATAGAAGAAATCAAAGAAGATGAAACAGACCCGCATGGTCCCGATCCCTCTCCACCAGCTTGCAGTTCATCAGGGACTCTTGTAATCCTGGCCCAGGAAAAAAAAACTATGGCCCATTGGATGCTACTCAAGATCACCCTACATCCAAGCCAAGTTGTAAGTGCAAGCATTCTTCCAAACCAACAAAACCTGCAGAAAAAGGTCCACTTGCTGTTCTTTCTTTTATATCTCTGAAAACATTGATAAGAACATAAGAAGAGCCCTGCTGGATCAGGCCAAGGGCACATCTAGTCCAGCTGTATCTCACAGTTGCCCCACCAGATGCCTCTGGGAGCACACGAGACAACTAGATACCTGTCTCCTGATACCACTCCCCTGCATCTGGAATTTGGAGGGACCTTCCTTCTAAGCCTGGAGATTATACATCCCCATCATGGTTTGTAACCTGTGATGGATTTTTCCTCCAGAAATCTGTCCAATCCCCTTTTAAAGGCATCTAGGCCAGATGCCATCACCACATCCTGTGGCAAGGAGTTCCATGGACTAACAACACGCTGGGTAAAGAAATATTTTCTTTTGTCTGTTCTCACTCTTGCAACACTCAATTTGAATGGGTCTCAAAGTGCACTATGGAAAGACAATATTTAATAGCAAGGATTCCCATTCTATTGCCCCTAACCCGATGTCGGGGCTTGCCCACCATCATGAGAGACCTCCCTGGGGGTCCCCGCTACCCCGATAGGTGTCTTTGGAGGTTTCAAAGGGCTTTTCCCTGACATTGGAGGAAGCTCTTTGAAAGCTCCAAAGAAAGGGCAGGAAATTCGAATTTCCAGCTCTTTCTCCCTGCCTTTTTGCCTTCCGAGCTCTCAAAGGGCTTCCTGCCCGACATAGGAGGAAGCAAGACCTTTGAGAGCTCTGAAGCCGCTGATCACGGTGGTGGGGACCCCCAGGGAGGTCTCCCATGGTGGCGGGCAAGCCCTGGGAGACCTGCCTGGGGGGCCCCGCCACCGTGATTGGTGGCTTCGAAGCTCCCAAAGGGCTTTCCCCCGATATCGGAGGAAGCTGTTTGAGACCTCCGAAGCCAAAAAAGCAGGGAGAAAGGACAGGAAATTGGAATTTCCAGCCCTTTCCCCCTGCTTTTTTGCCTTTGAAATGCTGGAACGGATTAATTCCGTCCCCATGCATTTCAATGGGAAATGGTACTTCAACTTAACTTTTCGATGTACGAACATCGTTCCAATACGGATTAAATTCGTAAGTCGAGGTACCACTGTACATAGATTAGGTACCACTGTACATACATTGTTTCTTGTAGAGCAGCAGATGGTGGAAACTGAGAGATAATCAATAGGGCGAGGGATTCTACCAGTTCTCTCTTTAAGTTCTAGAATATTACAAACAGTTTTGTGCAGGTGCAGGAACACCCACATGTGTCAATTCACAGATGACCACTTGGAGAACTGCAATTACAGGTAAGTAACCTGTCCTCCTTCATCTGAAACTTCTCTTTATGCTCCAAGAGATTTTTCTAAAAGGAAGGAAAAAGAGATACAGTGAGGCTCCCAATGCTGGTGTTAGATGCTAGTGCTGGCCTTGCTCATGTGTCTATGCCATACGCAGTAGTATGGGTGGAAGGTAGCAGGATTTAGATACACAAAAAGTGCTGTGCTCATTGGACAGACTTTGGAAGTAACAGATTACAAGTAGCTTAATTACCTCTAAAGTTACTGGGGTGAATGAGTGAGAGTTGTAACAAAGTTACATTTCAAAAACAATGTGGGAGGTGAAAATGAAGTTACTTTATTGATGTAATGAATATTTCCTAGTTACCTCTTGAAGTTACCTGAAAGAACATTTCAAACCATTTAGAGTCATTTTGATGAGAATTCTTAGTTTCATGCTGTTCTCTTATTAACTCTTCATTTTTTAAAAAAATGGAAAAACAAGGAGCAATGCCACAGACTGTGCAAAAAATAACATGTCAGGTGTTGTGATGAATCACAAGAAGGAATTACTCTCCATGCAATATAATGAGTCTCTGCTTTGGAAGCATCACGTATGCCCTTTTTCCATCTGATAAAATTTTCAGTAAATATTTCAGGCTACATGTATTTTATTTGCATGTAGCATTTAAAAATATCCTTTCCTTGCTGTCCATAGACAGGTAAATCAAATATAGACCCTTTGACAGTGCAGGTACTATAAATGTTTCTGGTGATGATCAGGTTGCGCAATGACTCCTGGGGTGTCAAAGGTTTTTGTTTGTGGAAGCTGTCTTTCTGCACATTCCTACCAACATATAATGGCCATATCCAGGCACTCCTTGACATTGTTTGTATACACTCACTTTTGTGAAGGGGATAGGGGTGGTACCAACATTTGTCATCACCACAGGAATGAAGCAATTTGTATGGTGATATAGATGTTTTGTTTGTATCTTCTGTTTCGAAATATTAATTTTAGGCCTGCCTACTAGAAGCTTCTCTCTCCTCACCTGAAATTGTAGGCTTCATATTCAAATCAAGAAACTAAGATTCACTTTAGAGAAAATTCTCTTCCTACTTTCCTGTTCCCTAGCTACCATTTTGAATAGATAAGTCTATTGCATTTTTCTCTGCGGATGGTAGTAGGTGTCACTCATATTCTTTTTCTGGCTATCAAAGGTGCAGGTGACTAATAAGAAGCTGGACTTTAGCCATGTCCAATCCAGGTGTGGATCAAAGGATAATATCAAACATGTCGCAGGAGGAGGCAGTGTGAGTACTTTCACACCGTTGAATGCACTATAACATTACTAGTGGCATGACATCTGCATTAACCCCAGAGCACCAATGCGGTCTTTAGAGTCAGACAGCTATTGGTGGTGTGCAGTGAATTAAACTGTGACCCGTGGAGATATGGCTTGATTAAACCTCCAACAGTGTCTCTGTCTGTGTGGGAATGTGCTCAGGACCTCAGTTTGGAAACAGGACTGTTTTCAGGTGACCTCCTTGTTAATGCAGAACATAGAAGCTCTCCTGGAATAATACAGTCTGATTCTGCTGATAGAAGAAGGAAGTGCTAATGGCATATAGCGAGTAGTACATTTATAAGAAGATCTGTGTGGTCTTGGAGGTGTGCTGAAGTTAGGCATAGTCACAGCTGAGTAAGTTCTATTCCAGAAAGAAAGGAGATGAGAGCCATCAGTGAAGAGTGTTATTTGTAGTCACAGTAAATTTTACAAACCTAGTAAATAAAGCCAAATGATTATCTGGATTTATTTTACATAATTTGTCCTGTTTCCAGATTTTGGCATGTCAAAGAATTTGGGTTACTCTTAGCAAGGGCTGTCGAAATACAGTGAAGAGTTAGTGTAGAAGCAGAAGTAGAAACAGTAGGTTAGTATGAAGCATTTAATAGAATCATGGGGCTAGGAACAAAGCAATGTTGCAATTATCCTCTCTCTTAATAGGAATGTTCCTGTTTAGGGTTCCATGCCTTCCTCCAGGACACTGTAAGCTGTTAGGAGGTCAAGCAAGCCAATTAACTATTCCTCTCCCCCTCTCTTTCATATTTCCATTTAGTGGTTTTTTTAAAAAACTTAAGATGTTAATTGGTTCCTGAAATATTGAACATGCTCCATTCTCTGTTTTGAAGAGAGATTTCTGCAAATCTCTGAGTTCTCCTAAGCATGCTTCTAACCTCTTGTTTGTCAGTGACTGTGTTTTATGTTTCTGAATTCATCAATTAGAGGAAGTGAAAATAGGGAGCAAAGTCCTGGCTTTTATGCCATTTGCTATCTGCTGAGCACTGGAAGACTAGCCCAGCCCAGTTCTAGCTGCTGAGCCTTCACAAGCCAATGACATCAGCTTCTTGTACAATCAAGAGTGCTGGAACTTTTAATAAAAGGCAGTGTTCTCCAGACAGCAGATTTTGTTCTACCAGGGCAAACATCTAGGAGCCTGTACTGCAGCCATATGAAGGGTACTTTTTGAAGGTGCATCAAATAACACATTCTTTGGTATGCATTACTAGCATCCTGTTCTCTAAACAAGGAACAGAAGAGAAGTTTTTAATGTTCTTTTGGTCTAATCGAATTTTAATGTTATCTTAATTCATTGTGAATTACGTTTTAGTTGTATGCCACCTTCTGTCCCTTCGTTGGGAGAAATGTGAGATATAAATACAGAAAATAAATAATAAGAGAAATCACATAAGTACTCCCTCTGTGCCAGCAGGCATCCCATGACATGCCTGTTCTCACATTGGTTGTAACATCGGTCATAGAACAGGGAGCCTGCTTTGTATTTTGGCAACAAGATACCAGCCAAAATATTCCAAGCTATTCAGGCTACAGAACAAAGCCCAGTGCACTTCCATGACACTATCCAAATAAAGTCTTGTTTCATTTTTAAAGACCAGAGAGAGGATAATACAGACATCTATTTAACAAAAGATGGATTATTTAGGTTTTCTCAAATAAAAGCTGAATTATTCCCGTTTTATGGAACACACTTCCTTAGGATTTACTGTATTTACATTATTATACGATGTTATTCAGAAGGTTATTCAGTGATATTTCAGTGATATTTTAAGCTAAGATTTTAAAGTGAGCAACGGTGACCAGAAGATTTTGGGTGTTGCCTCTTCCATCTGCTTAGGTTATTTTCAGGACATTGAGTATAGCTCTGACATGTAGAAAGCTGGTCTGTTGATGTTTGCAGGCAAGATACAAAATTTGCAGTCAGATAAAGACACTTTGGCTACTGGAATATAGAATCAAGAAGATTTATCTATATAAACCAAGGAGAATTCTGTATACCTACTATCCTTGCTTATGATGAAGTAAGAAGCCTAATAGCAAATTTAGTGAATTATTGAGCTTTAGATTAGAGCAGTGGTTCTTAACCTTTTTGAAAGAAACGCCCCCTTGAGCCATTGAGGAAGTTATCATCGCCTCCCTCCCCGCGGTGTTAGATTAGAGGTATGCAGAACGCATGCTGGTTGGAGAACTCTTGGAGTTGTAGAAACAAAAAATCTGAAACCTTTGATTTAGGTGCTTCCTTGCTTAGGATGTATTCAACTAGGAAGCCTGGTTGTGTTCTTAAAGGCAAAACTGAATTTTAGGTCCTTCTGAGCTGTTCTCTCCAGCTTAGAAGGTGGGTGGGGGAGAATGTCTGCTATTTTCTCACATTGTGTATTCCTTTCCTCTCACCCATGTGCCTCTGTGTTTATTCCTTGCACTTAGCTAAATAGTACCAATTTTTAAGACTCTCATCCTGTGTTCAAGATTGCATATCAAAAGGTGTCTTCATTAATTGCAAACTGATAAAATTAGCACAAGACGTGTGCGTGTAGAGAAATCGTGGAGGTGAATGAGATATTTTATGCTCATTAGGACACGTTATGAAGCTGATGGTCAAACCAAATTTTTATGGTTCTTGGAGGTTATTATGTTAGCTCCCAATATTTTCAGAGCTCTGGACAACTTCTGTAATGGGGAGGTGATCCCTGGCTGCAGAATGCTTGCTGCAGAAGACCCCTCCTCTAGTCTGAGCAGTTAAGCAGCAGTGAAATAGCGTGGATGACTATTAGAGCAGTGTGTAGAAAGATACTTGATGAAACATAGGCTAGAGCGAGAGTTTTCAGACATTTTTATCTTACATTCTACTGAACACTCTCTCAAAATGAGTGGTCCCTGACCATGATAGAAACAATATTTCTGAGAAAGATATTTATAAGTTTAGAGGCATTCTGTGATTGTAATTAGCATTTATACTAAGTTTTAAAGATATAAAAATGCAGTGGAATTTTTGGATATTTGGATAAACAATGAAAAATAATTCCTTTAGTGGAATTAGTCCATTTACAAAAGGATGTAAGAATTAAGAAAGAGTGAATTTTTACACTGCTTTTGTGTCCCACTTGTGCTATATGTACCATGGACTGAGAAACACTGAGGTGGATAGAACATGGTGTGCAGCTTGTTCTGTGCTCAAGACAGTAACAAACAAATTTTACTTTCCTTTTACTGTTGTGTTTACTTAAAGTTCTCAGTGGAAATTTTCCAAGAAGTTAGAGGGTTGTTTCATCTTAGTCGTTCTGGAGATAGGAAGAGCTGCCTCTTGGACACACACACACACACACACAAATCTTAGTCGTTTTGGAGATAGGAAGAGCTGCCTCTTGGAAACACACACACACACACACTCTTTGAAAAAGACACATGTATTCATTCTGACAGATTCTACACATAGGGCAGGGCCAATAGATGTACTCTGGGCATTCATTTGTACGGTTATTTTCAGTAATTTTCATTCGTGCAGCCTGAGAGTATAGGCAGGATTCATGAACACCTACGGTCAATCCTTTTTGTGGTAGATTGTTGTCCTTCTTGATGGGAGAAGCCGAAGAGAGATGGCTTGAATTGTTAGTGGCAGGTGGTAAATGCCTCCTTGTGGGAAGGTGTGATTCCAAAAAGTTTAAAACACTGCCACTGTGCAGAATATCCAGTTGACCTCCTGTGGTCATTCGTCTCTTAATTCTTGCTAGTTCTCTCAGCGACTTTCAGCATCTTTCACTATAGAATCGTTCTGGATGTTCTGGATAGGACTTGGGAGCTACCTTCTTACATTGTTTATTGTCCTTCCTGGAAAGACAATTTCATAAGATGCTTTCTTTTTGGGCTATGGTATCTTTTCCCCCCATGTTGTTTTTTTAGCATCTACATAAAACCACTTTTACATATCATCTAAGGGTTTATGTAGTGCCTTCAGTATGTAGAAGCTGAGACCAACTATTTCCACGATGCACTCACCCTTTAGGGTTAAAAGCTGCTTGAAAGGGATGGACAAATGGCTAATGGGGGATAGCGTCACCACTGTGCAGATGACATTCTTCTGTATTTCTGTTTCTCATCACTATCTGGCAGTAGAAGTCTGGAAGGAAAGCTTGAAGGCCGTGGTAGACTGGAGAGGGTTACAAAGTGAACACTGATGCAGAAAACTACTGACATAAGGATTCAAAGTGTTGGATAGCATAGCTCTTTCCTTCAGAACACAGATCAGTTTGTTAGTACAGTACTTCTAAAAGCTTCCTTTTCTCCAGCTGCTTTAGTTGTATCTATGACCCTGTGCTTTTTCCAGCTTAGGCTTGTGTGCTAGTTCTCCCTGTTTCTGAAGACTGTAGATTTGGCCAAGGCAACACATGCCTTAATTAGATCCTATCTGGATTACTGCAGTTCATTATCCATTGGGTCTGTAATGTTTGTAACTAACTAGAAATATCAACAGACAGCATGTGTCTTGTTGAAACAACTGAATTGGCTTTTGGGTGTAGTTCCCATGCTGGTGATTCCTTTTACAATTTGGGATCAGGATATCCAAAGTACTGCCTTCCATCAGTATGATAACCCTTCAAAAGTTGCTTCAACTGCATCTTGTTTGTATGAAGGAAGACAGCCTTTTCAATAGTTATTCCCAAGCTTTGGAGCTCCTTCACAAGGCAGATCTGTCTTGTTATCTAATGTTTCAGTGCACTTTATATTGTTTATTGGCTGCTGCTTCCTCAGATTGAGCCAGGAAGAGTTTGAGCTTCAGAACAGAATGAGGCAAATCGGGCAGCTAGCTGCATACTGAGCCTTTGCTTTCTGTGCAGTGTTGCACAACTAGCCTCCCATTGTAAGATGATGTACAAAGGCAGAAATCCAGCATCATTAAAGCTATTGGTAGCTGAGGGAGTTCCCCTATGCCCTCTGTAGATGCTGGCAAGTTGGGTAGCTCTAAAACCCGTATCTCTTTGGTTGCTGGGAGGTGGTGCCCCTGCTAAAAGAAACCCTGAGAGTATGACTTCCGTCTTTGTAAAATTGTATTCTTTCCTTCAGCATCATTAATACTTGTAACTTAATAACCACTAATTACATTTTCCTTTTATCTGTCTCCTTTGTGCATGTGGTACACACTTAATCTGTGTATGCAATTTGTTGGTTCAGGTATGTTTTGTTTAGTCTCACTCCCACATCCCTTATGTGCCTGGTGCATACACTGCTAAGTGAAATGGTTCAATGTGTTACACTTGTGTTGTGATAGTAATTATTTTTCTTAGGTCATTCATAGCAAGGAATATTTCATTTCCAAAATTTTGTGATTGTGTTCAACATGTCCAGATGTTTTGGGTCGATATGGGCTCTGAAAATTCATTTGCACAGGTATATTTTTGTGGGCTGGGCAAACAGTGAATTTGATGAAATTTCACCAAAAGTATTACTCATTTTGTGACTGCATGCATTAAGAAGATGTCTTAATTTTTGATAAATGAATTTTATACAGTAATATGCTTACAGTCCCCATGTTGTTTCAGATACCTTTGTTCTGGCACAACCTTTTAAAACAATCCTTTTAAAAAGCTACCCTTTCCATGCACATTGACTATTTCTGTTCTTTCAGTTTTTGTGGACATAAACGTTATGTTTTGCATCAGAAAAGGTATTTAGTTCTGCTTCTGTTTTTTTACACTTTCTCTGTAGCCTATTTTATTAAATTCCTCTCTTTCTCTCCCTGCCCCCACTATCACTTAAGCACCTTCAGCTGCCATTGCTTTTCCACTTTCTTCTTCTGGAGATGTGATCAAAAGTTTGTGCATGCTTTGGAAATGCAATAAGGGTAATATCATATGGAACCATATGAGGTGATCCTGCAAGCATTTTTTTAACCTTTATGGATACACCTTCTTGCTACTACAAAAGAAATTATGGCTATCTTTTTTAAAAGTATTTACTATATTCTTATAATACTTGAATGGAAATTTTACATGTAAATATATGGAGGAAATTGTTTCTGATGAATGAGAATACCAGCTGGGGTGCAGTGTGGTGAAAAACAAAACTTAATTCTTGAATTTGGGAACCTGAAATATCATGGACATGATATTGGAATGTATTGGAAAAAAGTGAAGATAATCGTGTATTTTTCTACTAAAATTATCATACTTGATAACATTCTTGAATAGTAGCACACTTTTTTGGAAATTTGGATGTACATTCTGATAAGCTACTTATTTTATTATGTTACTGTAGCCCATGCTACATTGATTTGGACTTTTTAAATATCTGTCTGTCAAATAAAAAGTTTGTGCATGCTCGCCTGTGGTTGGAAACTTTGCTACAACACATGCCTTGGCTTCACAATTTCTGGTGGAGAACTTTTCTTCTGCCTGTGCTTGGTTGATTAACTTTTCAGATGTCTTTTCAGACTACATTTCTTCTCCAGCTGGGTTCCAGTGTTTTATCTGTCTCACTTTTTCTGCATTTCTTAATTTGCTTTTTCAAGTTAAAATAATGCCTGGCCTGAAACACTGTGTGCACTTTTTCCATTTTGTTCTCACAGATACAGATTGTTTACAAGCCAGTGGATCTCAGCCACGTAACATCCAAATGTGGTTCTTTGGACAATATTCATCATAAACCAGGTGATGTTGATGTGCACTGTGAATCTTTTTTTTTAAAAGCCCGTGCTTGTTATTTTTTCTTTATATTTTACGTTCTTATAAAAATGTGCTATGCTTCTGGCAGACAGTTCAGTTCAAGTGGAATTTTTGGCTTTTTTCCTGAAATTTGAGAGAGGAAAGGAGGAAGGAAGGACGAAAGTACAAGGGCTGGAATCCGGCCTATTTAACACTACTGCATAAGAGCCATCTCATATGTATGTCCCACCCCTCTGATAGGCTAACCTTTGCACACTTGATCTTGCAAGAAATCCTATGGAAAAAGCAGCCTGTAACTATCAGATGAGACAAAGATGACATCCTTGACTCTAGTAATTGCTGTCAGAATAAGACATACATGCTTGGAAAACATGAAACTTCATTGTCTGGGTGATTCAGATAAATTCTGGTTCATAAGAAATGACTATGTGCAAAACTGACATGACAGAATTATTTATTTATTTATTTATTTATTTATTTAGTTAGTTAGTTAGTTAGTTAGTTAGTTAGTTAATTAATTAATTAATTAATTAATTAATTAATTAATTAATTAATTAATTAATTAATTAATTAATTAATTAATTAATTAATTAATTAATTAATTAATTAATTAATTAATTAATTAATTAATTAATTAATTAATTAATTAATTAATTAATTAATTAATTAATTAATTAATTAATTAATTAATTAATTAATTAATTAATTAATTAATTAATTAATTAATTAATTAATTAATTAATTAATTAATTAATTAATTAATTAATTAATTAATTAATTAATTAATTAATTAATTAATTAATTAATTAATTAATTAATTAATTAATTAATTAATTAATTAATTAATTAATTAATTAATTAATTAATTAATTAATTAATTAATTAATTAATTAATTAATTAATTAATTAATTAATTAATTAATTAATTAATTAATTAATTAATTAATTAATTAATTAATTAATTAATTAATTAATTAATTAATTAATTAATTAATTAATTAATTAATTAATTAATTAATTAATTAATTAATTAATTAATTAATTAATTAATTAATTAATTAATTAATTAATTAATTAATTAATTAATTAATTAATTAATTAATTAATTAATTAATTAATTAATTAATTAATTAATTAATTAATTAATTAATTAATTAATTAATTAATTAATTAATTAATTAATTAATTAATTAATTAATTAATTAATTAATTAATTAATTAATTAATTAATTAATTAATTAATTAATTAATTAATTAATTAATTAATTAATTAATTAATTAATTAATTAATTAATTAATTAATTAATTAATTAATTAATTAATTAATTAATTAATTAATTAATTAATTAATTAATTAATTAATTAATTAATTAATTAATTAATTAATTAATTAATTAATTAATTAATTAATTAATTAATTAATTAATTAATTAATTAATTAATTAATTAATTAATTAATTAATTAATTAATTAATTAATTAATTAATTAATTAATTAATTAATTAATTAATTAATTAATTAATTAATTAATTAATTAATTAATTAATTAATTAATTAATTAATTAATTAATTAATTAATTAATTAATTAATTAATTAATTAATTAATTAATTAATTAATTAATTAATTAATTAATTAATTAATTAATTAATTAATTAATTAATTAATTAATTAATTAATTAATTAATTAATTAATTAATTAATTAATTAATTAATTAATTAATTAATTAATTAATTAATTAATTAATTAATTAATTAATTAATTAATTAATTAATTAATTAATTAATTAATTAATTAATTAATTAATTAATTAATTAATTAATTAATTAATTAATTAATTAATTAATTAATTAATTAATTAATTAATTAATTAATTAATTAATTAATTAATTAATTAATTAATTAATTAATTAATTAATTAATTAATTAATTAATTAATTAATTAATTAATTAATTAATTAATTAATTAATTAATTAATTAATTAATTAATTAATTAATTAATTAATTAATTAATTAATTAATTAATTAATTAATTAATTAATTAATTAATTAATTAATTAATTAATTAATTAATTAATTAATTAATTAATTAATTAATTAATTAATTAATTAATTAATTAATTAATTAATTAATTAATTAATTAATTAATTAATTAATTAATTAATTAATTAATTAATTAATTAATTAATTAATTAATTAATTAATTAATTAATTAATTAATTAATTAATTAATTAATTAATTAATTAATTAATTAATTAATTAATTAATTAATTAATTAATTAATTAATTAATTAATTAATTAATTAATTAATTAATTAATTAATTAATTAATTAATTAATTAATTAATTAATTAATTAATTAATTAATTAATTAATTAATTAATTAATTAATTAATTAATTAATTAATTAATTAATTAATTAATTAATTAATTAATTAATTAATTAATTAATTAATTAATTAATTAATTAATTAATTAATTAAATAGGCCCAATAATGGGCTCTAAGTCGTGTTCGATCAGACTCCCAGTGGGATTTCCTCCACCTGCGCTCCAGCCGTCTCCCGATGGCCTAAGTCATTTATACGATGGCCTAAGTCATTTTAAATTTTATGTCAGTGAATAATTAATAAATACTTAATGTCACACATGTTGTATGTATGCATCACTTAGGAACTGCCCCAGATGCTTTTTCCTGGAGAGAAGCAGTATACATTAAGTGAGATACCTGCCTTTATTAGTGTCTTCTCCTTGATCACTGTTTTACAGGCATATGCACCTGGTCTGTGGTATATTCTTTATTTTGTGCACGAAACAAATTTTTGAAAGAAGCATGTTTGCCCCAAAGGCACTGTTGTCTGCTCTTTTTGCTCTGTGTTAACCATGATCTTATTTCTTCCTTAGGTGGTGGGCAGATAGAGGTGAAATCTGAGAAACTGGATTTCAAAGATAAAGTGCAGTCTAAAATCGGTTCATTAGATAACATTACCCATGTCCCTGGAGGAGGAAATAAAAAGGTAAACATCCTGTCTCAAACTATTCTCTGTGCATGAGAGCAAAGTCTTGCCAAGATGGTAACAGACCAGAGTGCATTTGCATGGTGACTAATAGTGGCTCCAACCAGTTTTCTCCCAGGGTCTGGTATGTTACTATTTTGGACCTTCTTTTTTCCCACAGGCTGCCATTATCTTACCAAGTCCTCAGTTTTCCCTGTGCATTGTCTGTAAACATATCTTAATGCCTTCCGAAGACCATTATGATGTCTGTCAGACTAGGAGTGAATGGGAATTTCCTCAGCCGCTTTCCCCACTTAAATCTGAAAACAAGCCTACATGTTGTTTGCAAAATCAGATATTGGTGTGTGGATCTTCCACCTCATTCAAACAACATTATTAAGAACAGAGAAGGCGCAAGGACGTGGTGCTTCTTCTCTGCTCTTACTACCCTTGTAATAAATGTGAATTGTTTTCACAGATGTCTCCTGCTACCCCAAATAAGTTTCAGATTACTCTTAGCACATAATACACTTTGTCCTAAGTAGCAGGAATTCCACCAAACAATGGTTGAAGCAAGCTAGAACAGAATTCTCATTTGGATTTTTAAAATCATCTATAACATTTTGACCTTCAGAAAGGTCCTGTTTTTCCCAGTCAAACACTCGACATCTGAAGGTGCATACAGACATACCTAAAAGTAAGAGTCACACTGCTCTGGAAGCATACCCATTATGTGTGGTGGGTGCACCTGTACTTTTCCCAGAACTGACTTCTGAGAAAACCAGTTTTGTGAGTTGAAAGCAACGGCAGTTTAGCTTTTACTTTGAACATGGCAATTCCATTTCCTGTTCCATCTTTCTCAGATCAATCTTACCACTTAAAATAACAGAACTGAAGTGTGTGTGTGTGTGTGTGTATCTTTAAAAGTATCATAGGAACTTCCATGTTTAATGGCAGAATAAGAAGCAGGCAAGGTTAACTTGTTCTTTGATTTGAGGCAGAGCCAACGGAACATAGATTCCCAGCTGGTTGTGAGTTCCTTTCCAGTTTTTGGCGTCTGCCCAAAAAGAGCGGTTAATCTGGAGCTCAGCATCAACCTGAAAACCCTGCAACTGACAGCCATGAAACAATGAAACAGAAATACCCTAAGGTGAAAATAGGAGCTTCCGTCTTTTCATTTCTTCCCCATTAGGAACTTTAATTCGATATGGCCTGTCTCCATGCCCTTTTTTTGCCTTAGGATTTTTGCCACTTCTGCACCCATCCACCTACCCAACCCCATGTAGCACTGCCAGAGTTACTCTTTCTAGCACCCTTCCCTATTTTCTGACAGCATGAAGAGGGAGTTCTTTGTTTTTGTTTTAACTTTCTAGCTACTCCATATACACCACGTTGTAAGAGTTCACAGGTTTATTTGAGTGCAAAGGTGCTAGAACCTGCCTCACCATCTCCACCATCATGAGCCTCTGTGGATCAACTTGTTTCCTCCCAAAAGATGGGAGATGGCTGTGCTAAATTCCTTGCCACTCCTCCCCCAATAGACTCAGGTAGCCAACTTGAGGTTGACTCAGCCTTCCATTCTCTTGAGGTCAGTAAATTGAGTACTCAGCTCATTGGAGGGGAGGGGGAATGTGTAGCCTGCATAATTAAATTGTAAACTGTCCAGAGAATGCTTTAAACATTATGGAGTGCTGTAGAAGCAACACACTTTGCTTTGATCTTCATTTATTTATTATTTTCATTTATATGCTGTTCTTCTGTCCAAATGCAGAGTTGCACACACCAGAATACAGACAAGTGTTAGGTATATAACAAATGCATCAATCAAATAATAAATAGTTCACATAAATTTATGGTAAACATGCAAATAAAAGATTAGAACAACCGAAAACTTATCAGACAATGTTGTCTTATATACATGCCCATAAAATGTTTCACCCCATAAGTTGTGGAATAGCAGCTTATTAACATCCAGAGACTGAACCAAAACAAAATCTGGACTTCAAGTACCGAAGCACAGACATGGAAACGAGAGTGTGTTTGTTGACAGCTCCCTCTGGTCGTCTCCTGTGACAGGAGACTCTTTCATGGAAATGAGGGGACACCAAAGGTTAATTCCCCTAGTCAACTCAAAGGAAAGAATTGTAAGGCTTCCAAAAGTAATTGCAAGTGCACTCATTGTTTTTATCTGAAATAGGGACCTTAGAGTAACAAGACATTTCTGGTTAGGATATCAGTCTTCAAAGTCATTTACATAACCTCAAGTCTAAGAAACCTCTTCCAGATATGGAAGTCACCAAAATTTTGCAGAATACCATAGTACCAGAAATTAGTTAGCCCTTTTACCATACAAATTAGTGCATTCTTTGAATCAAGTGCCAGATTTTACTAATTAGAGCTGATTATAGGTTTTGTCCTGTCATCCATTTCACTGTAAAACATCTACCAGCATCAGTAGTCCATACAATATATATATGCTTGGTGTTCTTTTATTACAACAAAGCAGAACTGGAACTGGGGACCATCTCACAAGAAGCTGAAGACCTCTTTAGCTACAGGTCTGATACTGGCCTGTTTCAACATATAAATTTATTCAAAGCACTAGAGATTTTCTTACATTTCCATATGAGAAGCATGATTTCGTGTCTGAAGCCATTCTGTTTTCATCTGACTTCCAAATGTTTTCCATTAGTCAAGACTTTATCGTTGCTGGTACCTTGCCTCCAAAATCCTCCAAAACACCTGTCTAGATGATCTTCCAATAAATTCTTCATCCAGGCACCAAGATATAATTGACACTCTGTGTGACAGTTCATTGCCTGCAGTCTCTCACGTTTCTCATCAACTGGATGATAATGGCAACATCACTGCTACACTTTCAACACCTGGAAGTAATGCTGATCATCGCTTTGGTCAGGATTCTGTTCTCTCAGGAGAGAGAGAGAAATGAGGAAAATGGCCCTTGTGTATATTTGGCAAAAGTACAAGGACTGATAATTATATGTCTAGACTTCATCTCTTGGGCACATCTCTACTTTGTACTCTTTGTGGGGGTATATTCTCCCCACCACAACCACATCAATCACAAATAAACTGCAAAGAATATTCTCTGGGAAGTGTGAGGCTAGAATTATGCTTATCGCTATTCAGCCTAAGGGAAGGGGCCCCTTTAATGGAAATTGAAGGTCCATGCTTGTTTCAGGAATTTATGGTATTGTACTCATGCTTCTTTCGATAGGTAGCTCAATTGGAATTGCAAGCCAGTTCAGCTGGCCTTAAAATGTGTTCCTCCATAGGCTTCAGAAAAAAACCCCCACAGTGTTACCTTTCTTACTTTGTGTCAGAAGCACAACAGTACAGTTAATAAATATATCAGATTTTTTTTTTGCTCCGTTAATGGGCAATACCAAGAACATTTGAGGGGTAGTTAACATGAAATCTTCAGCAGTACACTTTGAAGGGAGTACACTAACATTGGTATGAAGTTGTCTGTTCAATGGTGTTTAAACAAAAGTCCCATTTTCTTAGGTTCACCTTGGTTCTGCCACCTCTAGTCCGTAGTCTCTTAAGTGAGTTCCAAGTAATCCAGCTTTAAGTATGACTGCAGGCTAGACCTAGGATTCCATCCATTTTAAGAGATTCTTTCTTCCTACTTATGTTCCTGGCATTCTATTCTGTTCCTTCAGGATTCACAGATATTCTGAAAAAAGGTTTCCTTGATTTTAATCTATTAGGGGTGGGATGTAACCAAAGAGCCGGTGCACATTTGATGTAAGTGCATCAAGTCTTTCACTATTAAGTGTTCTCTATCTGTGTATCTCACTGGGTGCAGTGCCTGCTAGGTAACTGATTCTACCCGAAAGGGATTTCCTTCAAATATCTTAATATGCATTGGGTGCTAAATCTGCCAGTTTTGCAGTATTATGTCCAGGTCAGGTAAGTCAGCCACCAGAGGTGCACTAGAGCTAGAAGTGTTTATGTAGATATGTTGTCCTTTCAACTTGAGTGGAAAGAAACATGGCCTCTAGCTTAGCTGAACATACTTAGCCTGGAGGAATCTGAATATTTAGATTGATTGGCTGAGTTGACAACAATAACGGAACAAGTAGAATTTCTGTTAGATGTTCCTCGCATCATCAAAACTGACAAGACTGCTGACAAAAGCTTTTTATGTACAAGGCAGAACTCAAGTTTAAAATGTTTATATCCCAATTCCTAGTCCTAGATATGGAAAAATAATCTCTTACTTCCTGATATTTCTCCATGCAGTTTGACAACCCTTATATTCCCCAGATAAGGAGGAAGTGATATAATTGGGTTGATAGATTCTGCTGTGCTCACTTAGTAGACTGAGTCCTGAAAGGTTTCCCCTTGTGATATGGAGCACCTTTAGTACATGCTTTTCCTGTGTGCTGTCCTATTTATTAGTTAATTAAAATAAGATTTACCTTGAAGTCCTTTCTGTTCAGTTGACAGTGGGCAAACCTACAAGGATTATGGTCAAGGAAGTATAGTGCGTGGCAGAACAAGGTTGTTCTTGCTTCAGAAACTTTGCATCTTAGGTCATTGACAGTGGGCAAACCTACAAGGCTTATGGTCAAGGAAGTATAGTGTGTGGCAGAACAAGGTTGTACTTGCTTCAGAAACTTTGCATCTTAGGTCACTGCTCTGCTAGTTCAAACAAAGGAATTCCATGGTAAACCCAACTACCATTGTAGTCACACAAAGGTACAATTGGTGTTTAATTGATTTAAAAAAAAAAAAGACAGTTTGAAGCAACTAAAGTGGAGATGAGTGTGTTTGTTGATTTACAGCACAAAGAAGGGAGAAACGGGGTTCATGCTGTTGGAGAAATAAACATAGCAGCCTCTCACTTTAGGTAGGTCTGTATGCACTCCAAGGTGGGCAGAAGCTCTCATGTTTAACATGGAGCATTGGGACAGGAGAGATGTTCTGTTCCTTGGTTTCACTGATATCAAGACAATGTTGAGAATTTTGATTATAACATGTATTTTAATAATAATATTTAATAAATGTTTATTATGGTCATTGACCAGGATATTGGTCAGCAGAGATACTTATGACAGTATGACACCAAGAGCGTAAAACCAACAACTCCGTCTATTTACGTATATACATGGAGACTAGGCATTCCTCTGGCAGCATAACATGGCATGAAGCAACACGCAGCATAGGAAAAAGTTATCTGACTTACAGCAGATAAAGACGTTCATTTTACATATGACTTACGTACAGTTCTGTGACCAATCAGAAAATACATTACTTCATTTTCTGTTACACAAAGTTTCATCATGTATCACAGCTGGACAAGATTAAGTCTTAATCCTTGATACCCACACCTGAATACAATCAGTACAGTGACTCAGATAAAATCAGCCATTTTACATTTAACTATACAACATTCATATTTAATACATTTTCATGTCTAAATCTCAACAGACAATGACTGAAGTTGTCGTTGCTCTACAATTATTACACCTGAGGAGCATTTCAGATCTCACAAAGACATTTCTCTTCGGAGGCCACTTGATTGTAATCTGAATTACAGGTTGCTGGGAGAATAAGAACAGGGAGTGCATTCTGTTCCTTTCTGTGGAAGGTGCAAATGCAACCGCCTCCTTCTCACAGGGAGATGGATAAGAGGATTGAGTCAAGTCAGAGCTGGTCTGGTCCCAAGCAATGTCAGGGGAATGTGCCTGGAAAATTAATTGCCTGCTTAGCTTTAGTTTTTACAATGTATGTGCAGTACTGAGCCCTTAAGTCATCAGGGTTGTCAGCTTTTCAGCTGACTGCTGTAAGTATTGCCTTCAATAGCAACTTGATGTATCAGCAGATACCTGTCTGTTAACATATTAGCTGTGATGTTGTTCTCTACGCTGTGAAAAGGTTTGCATGCTGGTATCTGTGTATCTAGCTTTTGTTAAAAGCATGAACATTCTGCTTTCTTCTAAGTTGGTCACCCAGCTCAGATTTTGGTACACGCAGAATTCTGGGCCTTAGCAGAAAGGATGCACCGTAGGTTTTTGGAAGCTTGTTCTGGGAGTGATCCCGAAATACAAGTTATTCTTTTTCTTTGTTTGTGTTTGCCTTATTTGTTGTGCCTGTCTCGGGGAGGGAGGCTCTACTCACGTGCATTTCAGCCCTTTCCTCTCAGACACATCTCATTTTAATAACCTTGTGAAACTCTCTAGCTCTCATTGGCTCCTTCCAGTGAGTGCACTGGCTTCTGATGGGAGAACTTCTCTGCTTCCTTATCCTTCTCTCACAGCCATCTTCACAGTTTCTGGTCTTGAGCATCCTCCGCCTCTTCTCACTTCTCCTCTTTCCTTTCTGCATTTCCTGGGCCACAGTTGATCTCTCTTGGAATTATCTGAAATTGAAAGTTCATAGAATCATAGAATAGGGAAGTTGGAAGGGGCCTGTAAGGCCATCAAGTCCAACCCCCTGTTATGGAGGCATTGCGAATGGAAGCAAACAGAAGTATGAATTTGGACCTGCACATAGAGCTCTGTGTTGGAGGCATAGGAAGAAAGAAGGGTGAGTGAGTGGCAATAACAGTAAATGCTAGAATAAAATTCTTGGGAGAATTAAATCAGGTGATTTTTACCTATAGATAGAAAGTGGGCATTGTCTTTTTTCCCCCCAATTTTTTTTTTCCTGAGAGAACCAAAAACTTTGGGACAATTCCATCACTAATATTATTCATCTGTTGTTAGGCTTAATGAATGTGACATGATGTATACTCTCAGTCAGCTCAGACATCTAGAGTCAAGCTGGATATATATAGCTTGTAATTTACATTCATTAGAATAATAAGTATGATGTGCTCTCAAGTCGGTTCTGACTTATGGTGACTCTTTTTAGGATTTTCCCCAGGTATGGGGTACTCAGAAGTGGCTTGCCATTCCTTTCTTCTCTGGGTGCTCTGAAGCTGTGCAGCTTACCCAAGGCTGCACAGGCTACCTCTTCACCTGGGAGGCTGAAGTACAGTACTTATCTTTGAGAAAACTACAGTGTAGGAAGAAGAATAGTCTAACTGACTAATTACATGGAACATGTGGTAAAACTTCCATTTCAGTTTTTTTAAGAGAAAGGGAATGATAAATTTTGGAGCAATCCTGTGGCAAGGGCAATATGTGCAGCATTATACTGCACTGGATCCAGCCTTAATTAGTATAGATCCACTGATATCAGTGGAACTTAGTAAGGCTTGCACCATAGAAGAGGTGGTCATTTGAATCTCAGGAAAGATATTAAGTTGGATAGAAGATACAGTTCTATCCACACTTTCACTGTTAGAATGGCTTGAAATAGCATCTGATACCTAAAAATATGATGAGGAGATGCCTTGGACCCCTATAAAGTTCTAATGTGATTTGTTTGGTGTGACTACAAGTAAGTGTTCAACCACACAGGGGTTGAAATGCATTGGAAATGCAACTGGAGGCTAATAGGTCTTGAGGAGACCAGTGAGATTCGACAGTCGACCTTTGAACGGGACTTAATAGTCCTAGATGCATCTCGCTGTAGAAGATCAAGTCAGATCAGTGCTATAGTATAGCCCTTATTATTCCTGGGTCTTAACATGCTCCATCTCTACCTCCTGTGGCTTCTACACACTGCAGTTGTGTTCCTGATTCTCTATCCTCTTCCAATCTCATATGTCCCTCCCTCCCCATTGAAAATTTTTGGTTTCATGTCATCTTATTTGATGATGCTCTTTTGCATCCCACTGACCTTCTCCACCCACATGCAGAGAGAGAAGGGAAAGGAAGACGCGAACGGTGCCCAAAACTCCCCCAGTAAGACTGGGCTTCCTTCCCCCATCACGGAGCCCTCCATCCCCGAGGAGAGCCCACTCCCCGACTTGCACCCATGTGATGCCAGTAAGTAGTTACCCTTTGTAATGAGCTTTCTGAGAGCAAGAAGGGTACCCAAAGCTTGGAGGGCGTTGGGAGGGAACACAGCATACCACTTGCCCCCTGGTTTTCTGTGGTATATAGATGGTCTGTAGTTTGAATCTATACTAACAGCTTTACAAAAATGGCATACTTTCAAAAAAAAAAAAAACCTCTAGAAGATGACTGTCCCCAACATTCTGGCACCTTCTCCTGTACTCTCAGTGCTGGACTTAAGTGGAGATTCCTTGGGGTCCTTCATAGATATATAGCATAGGCTACTATCATGTAGTCTGTTATGTATGTACTTGACTCAGGATCTCCAGATGAAGGAAACATAGATTATATCATTCCCCCCCACCCCCCAAATAACATGCAAGCAGGGTCCTTTTTTCAGTTGTGGGTGCTTTTCTTTAGATTCACACAAACAAATTTCAGAGCCTAGGTCTTCCTGACTCTGAGCTACATTGGCTAAAGCAGAAGTTACGGGGGGAGAAGAGAAACTCCATCCAAGTTGACCCACTTTGGCCTACTAGTCAAACACTAGCTGAGGTGGATGGTGGGATAGGGTGTCAACTCCCTCCACATTGTTCTACCTAAGTCTGCTATCCTCACCTGTCTCTTTTTTTTTCTCATTCCAGATTGAGAGTCACAAGCTGTCTTTTCGTGAGAATGCCAAAGCCAAGACTGACCATGGAGCTGAAATTGTCTACAAATCACCCACTGTTTCTGGAGATGCCTCCCCACGTCGCCTTAGCAACGTCTCCTCCACTGGAAGCATCAACATGGTGGACTCCCCACAGCTGGCCACATTGGCCGATGAAGTGTCTGCTTCTCTGGCCAAGCAGGGCTTGTGATTGTGTTTAAGTGGGTGGAGCGAAGAAGAAAAGAATCCACTCTGGCCTTTCTTCCTCTGTTCCTTTATACACCTGCATCCCTCGCCATTGATTTTCCCCCTACTAATGGGCTCTTTTAATCTGCTCCCCGTTTTGCCATTTATTCATTGTCTCTAGCCATGGGATTCCAAATTTATTTATGCCTTGGAAACAAAAGATTCTTACCCTGTTTCCAGAGATCTCAAATCTAGAGAAACACATCCTTTCACTTCTTACCCTGAAACAAAAGGAAATGTAATTGCTTGCTGGGGAAGCTTATCGCTGTTTTAAAGCTCGGTTGTGAGGAAGGAGGAATGGTTTCTGGTACCGTACTTGTGCATGAGTGAGTCAAGCTTGTCCCCTTAGACATAGAAATGAGCCTCTTCTATTGTGATTGTCTAGTAAACGTACTGACAGATTCCTGAGGGATGCTTTCAGGCAGTGTTACACCTGTTTGTTAAAGAGTATGGATAGAGTACAATTCAAATATACAATCACAATATTCAGTGTGAAGTGACATCCTGGGGGAAATGAATTTTCAGTACAGTATTTTCCTTTTGAAGGAGGAGAGATTTCCACACTGAAGAGAGAAGAAAAGCTCAGTTATAATACATATCTTTATTTTTATTTTGGGCGTTTTCCTGGAGTTCTGCTGTAACTTATCATATTTAAGGGCCAATATTTTCCTCTTGCAATTAAAAGGCATAAGGTGAAACTGCATTTGAATCCTCCATGTTGCATGCTCTCCATCCCATTTTTTTGAAATGATGCATTTAAGGAGCAGCGCAGCACCTTGTTTTCTTCTCCATTTGCAATTAATATCCCCTATTAGAACCATATTTAGTCATGTTTTGGGTAGACCCATTAAAACTAGAGTAATTAAAATTAACTGTGACTGACACTTATTAAAATCAATGGGACATACTAAATATGATTAATCCATTGGTTTTTAATTTTCATACCCCCTTTTCCACCTCTTTCTCACCACAGCAATTTCTGGTGCAATACCACTCCCATGCCATCCTCACTTTTTTCTTACCTGCCCAAATAATACCTTAGATTCTATAGTGCCGGGGACGTCTCTTTTACTCTTGCTGTAGCACTTCTGTGACACGACAACCTGAAACAAGGTCTTGGGGAGCAGAGCAAGGTGGCTCATTAACTGGAGATGTGTTCCTTGTGCATGGCGGAAATGGCTTGGCTTATTCTCTTAGTTCCTATGGGAAAGGTGTGTATATGTGTGAGTAGAAATTTGTGAGGTAGAGTGGTGGATCTGGGGATTTTTGTTTTGAGGACATTTGAAGTATGTGCAGATGACAGATGGAAGGCCAGTTCTCTCAAAGAACACCTCTACTGAAATTTGGGGATCATGTGCATCCTTGTGCCTGTGAGGCCCTTTTCATAATACGCATGCTTGTCACTTGGTATCTGCAAGAAGCATGGCAGGTCAAACACAACAGATAGGCTCAGATAAAATGCTTACCTTGCAGAGAGGTCACAATGTCCAAGTTGCCACATGTTGTTCCCTTCATATATAGTAGTTTTATGAGGCAAGTGTGCATGGCTCAAAGCAGCCCCGCTTAACCAAATCAGCAGGGGCTTTTAGAAGTTCAGTCTTGCTCAGGCCTTTTTTTGTAGGGGAGGGAAGCTTGTGTTTCAGATTGGTAGGAAGTGTAACAGCAGTTTCCTGAATGCAAATTGTATCTGTTCACTTCTGCTTAACAACAGCTTCTTTGGTTGGGAAAGCAGATGTTTCTGTGATAAGGATATGTGTTCTTTGCAAACCCATTTCATCCCTGTTGTATAGAATCTTCAGTTCCAGCTATAATTGCCTCTGCCTAGAGTCGCAGTTTGGGGAGAGGCAGTATCCTGCTGTAGGTCGAGTCAACTGCAGCGCTGTGAGCACATTCTGATTTTAGAGGAACATAGATCTTACATCTAGAGCTGTTCATGACTGCAGTTGAATGGGGATAACTGTTGCCCTCAGACACCGCCATTGTTGGTTGGGATGCTCACCCTCCCCATTTCTATCTCCCCAATATGAATTTCTAAGTAGAGCAGGCACCCCCAAACACATGCAGTTATGGTATGTTAACATAGCCTCAGAAACAACAACCGGCTTGAGCTAAACTAGTGCAGTTAATTCAGATTAGATTCTCTAGCACAGTTGTGCTCATTCCCCTTTACACTTTCCAAACATAGCAGATGACAAAAAGATACAGAGCACATACTTTTTTGGGAAGCTATATTCCTGGCTAGATAGGTGGAACTTAGAAAGCTGTTTAACACAGAAATATGGAGGCCTGAGTGAGCCAGGGAAACAAGTTGCATCATTTGGAGTGTGTCACTGAAAACACAGCAACAAATATGTTTTGACCTTGCTGAACTGCCTGGAAGGTGGCAAGTGGATGTTGAAATGTCCCTTTTGTCATACAAATCAAGACAGTCAAGTGTTTTCCAAACATTTTATTTCAGTACCCGTAATACTTATATTCTTACATCTAACTTGCAGATAGCATCTTGGCTTGGGAGAACTTTAACCCACCTTCTGTTCCTGCATTAAATACAGAAGTAAAAAGGTTTAATATCCACAGTTTTTTTCTATGGCACCCATTCAGTGTTGTTCCTTGTGAACGCCTCTTTCCACCACATTCTTGAGTGCGCTGTATGAGACACCATAGTAGTTTAAAAAAATAGACTGACCTCAGCATGTTTTTGCCTTTCGCACTCATGCAGCAGAAATAATATTTCTGAGGATCTTATTTGATTGAAAGTTGTAGGATTTAATGACATGTGGGCATAGCATGTTGGCAAATAAACCCCAATGTTGTTGTTGGTTATTCTGCTCCATTGCAGTGCCCATATGACAAGTCCGAAGAGCTGCACAATGCAGGTCATTAGCAAATTAAGTTGTTCTTCTTTTCTCTCTAATGATTGTATGATGCTATGTTTAAAACAAAGCCTGTAATTATCTTTGAATTTACTTTAATATGTGAGTAAATTTGCACATCTTACCTTGAAAGTGAATAAACTGCTTTAGTTATTTATATTATGATGCAGCTTGGCATAACCCCCCTGCATTAGTTGTACATGTCAGTTTTACATTAGCATAAACTATGTAAAATGTCAAGTTTTTCAACATCAAAGTAATGAAAAGCAATCATATTTTAAAATATAATTCTCTCCCCCCTCCCAAATATTACTAAATAGCCTGGTCCGCCATCCACTGATTTCATTTTTCAAATCGTCCAGTTCCTGAAGCACCAGATACATTATTTAAATATTCTTTCTATTCCCCCCCCAACAATAAATCTAGCCTAATCCATAGCAGCTGTTCCCCAACGTGGATTTTTTTTAATGACTTGCTTTAGGATACACAGGCATCATTTTTCCAGATAGTTAGACCCTTGAGGGTTCAATCTAGGTCCATGTCAAACTGTCTGGCGGATGTCTTGTCTTGGTATATAACTATACATATCTAGGGGTGTGAATAAGTATTAAACTTGGCAGATGAAAATCATGGTTTTGAAGTTAAGAACAAGAAAGAATAGTGGGCTTTGTTACATGAACGTGGAAGTATAAAAAAAGGATAATGGAGTTTAGAAGACCCACAATTCTCTTTTAAAGTTTTTTCGGGGGTGGGCAATGAATGGGGAGGGGGTGGTAAGGGAGTAAGATCTCCGTATGATCATCATAGCTTAGCTACCTGTCTGTGACTGTCCATATTGTATTTGTGTGTTTTAACAAATGGTTTACACTGACTGTTGCTGTAAAAGTGAATTTGGAAATAAAAAAGTCATTACTACAATATTAAATTAGTTATCCCTCTTTGTCTGAGGGATAGCATGCAGACTGGGGTGGTTAGAAGAAGGCATCCAAGTTAGAACTGATTCCTACAGACTGTGTAAAATGGACAGGGAATCTATAGGCCCCCCCAGATACCCTAACACTATTCCCACTTAGCCCAGTGTAAACTGTTGCTGAAATATTAACTAGCATAGGCATAGGCATCCTTCAGTCTCGAGAGACTATGGTAACATGCTCTGAATCGAAGAGTGTCCTCTCCAGAGCATGAAGCCCGGGTAAGGTAATATGGAGGATAGGCTGTTACCCAAGCAGCAGATCCCCCCTCTCCACATTGCTGAAGTGGTCCATTGGAAAGGCAAGAGCCAATACAACTGGTTCCAGCAATGTCGCAGGAGTTGGCAGAACGACACATGCTGCCTTCGGGACTCCAGCTCCGGATTTTGCCTCGAGGTTAACTCCTGAAGCCTTTTCCATGAGTGGATATAGCCACAAGGCAGTGGAGGTTTGAAATCGGAGTTTTCCTTCTCCAGAAATATTAACTAAATTGTTCCAAAATAGTTATCACACATTGCAATTCACTATTAACTGGGTCTCATGCAGAAAAGCCAGGCATGCATTGATTGTTTTTCAATTTTCTTCTCAACAAATCATAAAGGGGAATATTTTGTTACTTGTATCAGTTGTTCCCAACCTTGGGTCCCTAGATATTCTTGGGCTAAAACTCCCAGAAGCTGTGCTGGCTAGGATTTTTAGTTGTGGTCCAAGAATATCTGGGGCCATAAGGTTGGGAACCACTGACATACACCTTCCAGCTATGGACCGGGGGGGAAAAGCACCTTCTCTGAAGAGCACACTTCCTACTGGTACACACTATGTTATATAGAAAAGCCTTCAACATTGTACCTAGTCCAGGCAGTTTCCTTCCAGAGCGGCGTCGTAAAAGTGGACTAGCTGGCAATGCAGGAGGAGGTGCACTAATGTATGCCTAACTGCCTTCTGAGGTTTCCTGCCTCCCACCCTTCCTACCTTCTTCCTTAACACTCCTCAGCAAAAAAGGAAATGAATTCTTAATTGTCTTCAAAGAAAGCCCACAGAGACATTGTGCGTGAGAAAGATGGTAGTCTTCAGTACAGAAACCAAGTGAAGATTTCAACTCCGCTCTTACACATAGAGGCTCCATCAGGATAAAAAGTGCAGGCACAGCGGAGCCCTGGTTCCAACAGACTGTTAGCTATAATCCACGCTTTTTGGGGTGGTGGGCGTGGAACTGATCCCTTATGGATATGGGGTCCTTCTGTATTTCCCAAGTTTAAATCATTAATGATTTACCATTACTCCAATTTGTAAAGCAGTTCAGATCATGCCAACATACCTTGCTAATATTCTATACTGATACTCTTCCCCCTCCACCTACCCAAAAAAGAGATTTAGCACAACTTTTTCTTAACTTTTTAATTTTTTTAATCTTTTTTTTATAAGCACACATTTGTGCTTTGGCCAACAGAATCAAGACATTAAACAAAGATCAGCTTCTCTGAAGAAAAGCGTTTCTATATAACAAGGACATTACACAGCTTGAAGCAGGAAAAGAAATATTTACAAAATACAAGGTGGTTTTTTTGTGGATTTTTCCTTTATAACGCTAAGAGGGTTATTCAGAATTTTCAACCTTATAAATAGAAAAGCACTTAATGCAGAGGGATATGGTAGCATTGGGTTTTTTCCTCTTTTTTAAAAAAGAAATTAAACTAGAACAGAACCAAAAACATTAGGTAATGTTGAAAATTGTGAAAAAACCCCAACCATTAAGCAGTTTAGCTACTATTTCGTTACGATTACAAAATGAGAAAAATGTCTTTTTTTCCTTTTTTGGTGATGTGATTAATACATAAGACAGGCGCAATGCTAACAACAGGACAGGGACCAACAGCCACACCGCTAGGGTCAGAAGAACATTACAGATGGATCGGTGTGCAGAATCTGGGAGCCACAGAAGGTGGGAAATGATGGCGGTGGCCTTTTAAAATTAAATACCTCTTGAGCTTGGTAGTAATCAGCCCAATAAGTTATCAGAAGTTAAAAAAAACAACAACACCTGACTGAGAAGTTTGCTTTCAAATAAGTTTTGTATGGAAGTGGAGTTACACAGTAGTGGTGAAAAACAAAGTCCTACCTTTCCCTGAAAAAAACCAAAAACATGACATGTAGGTACTCAAATGTGCCTTACAATGCAGGATGTAATCTCAAGCAATGCATAGATTACATTTTTTTACAGAGGGCTGGAGAAAACAATACTGAAATTATACCACTCGTTAAAATATGGCTTATGGGTCTGGGGTAGCAAAGTTGCTGGATTCCTGTGACATATCTCCCAGTACTTAAGGCTCAATGTTACTGTATTGCAATCTAGCAACAGTAGATGCATCATCTACTGCAACTTTCAAACTATGGGCCAAGTGCAAAACTAAAAAGAAACACACAAGTATTAATAATTAACGGCAGGTCAAGGGAAGAGGAGAGTTACAAATCACATATAGCAAAGCAGGTCTTCAGTGTTCTGTCATGGAAAACTGCTCCTTTTGAAATGCTGAGCTGACAGCTTTCTTCCCACTTAACTTGCCATTTAAAAATAACTCAAAACGGTATGATTGGAACAGAACTGTTCCAAATTGAAAACAAAAACTGCATCCAATCTGATGATGGGAAACTGTCTTGCACAACCAAGAATGCTTCCTCTTTAAATCTGAGAGATGGACTCAAATGCATCAACAGATAGTAGAAAAGGTGAATGCAGGTGAAATTATGCAGGAGGAGAGCTCCACTGAGCTTACATATGGGAATGAAAGCCATCCCTTTGAGAAAACCAAGTGACAGAGGGTTTTGCATTGCAAGTGCTTTCTAGTGCCACGAGCAGAACAGATCGTGAAGGAAACTGCATTCAGAAGACGTCACTTTTCACCACTAATTTCACTCCACTAGAATCTTAGGGGAAGGGGAGAACATAGTGATGGTGGTGAGTGAGGAGAACAGACAACAAACAGCAAAAGAAAAAGGGGGAAGTACCCCTTTAATGGGAGAACGAATTTTCCGAAGTCAATTAGTCTGCCCCATCCTCCTGTTCAAGAAGGGTACACCTAAGCACGGGGAGGGGGAAGCAAGTTTGCTCTCCTCAGTAGACCACACAGCACTGAAGAAGGTGTGTGTGACAAGGAAACATGGAAAGAAGGGTGAGGAGGAAATAAAACAGTTTCTAAACTCCTTAAATTCACTAAAAACTGTGAAAATTCCCGGCAAGATGTTTGAATATCAAACGCAGATTTCAGAAGCTTTAATGCCAAAAGTTAGTTTGGTGGATTGCTTTTTGCTCTCATGTTCCTGTCCATATTTTATCTGTGGGCTGGCCGCTGCACTGTGGCCACTGCCCCAGGATTCCGGTTCTTGAGGCAAGCGAGAGTGGGTGAGGTGGGGGCTCCATCTGTTTCTCGGGAGGGTTTGCTGCCAGAGGTGCGCCGCGTGCATCGTGATGACCGGTCCTGGGGGTCCAAATGGTCCTCACACTCTGTCTTGGGGTTGTAGGACAGAGGGAAGCTGCGCCGTTCCCAGGGTTGCACTGTCTAAAAAGCAAAAGAGAGCATAATTTTTATCCTCTTGCTCGTTCAATAATTTTATCTTGAACAAAATCCTGGGTGTCTGCTAGGATTTCATCCAGGGCCATCTCCCCTCCAACTGGCTATTCTAGGTATCTACACTCTTTGTCATGACCTAAACAGGGAAAAACCCAATCTATGTAAAGGTAACTGAAAGCACATATAAATTAAAATACCTTCCCTTTTGGATGCCTCCTTGCAGACCCCCCCCATCAAGGTGTCCTTCAATATTTCTCATCAGGAAAAGTGTCGGTATGTACCAAACACCACTTTTAAGTCCTGGTACTGCCACACATAACAATTCTGTGTCCTTCTCAGGTCTTCTAATTTTTAAACCCAATGCCTGCTGTGACAAACAGAACACCACCACCAATATGCCATTTCCAATACTTTCCCTGTTGTTTCCAAACACATTCAATCCAAGCTAAACATGCGCCATTATTTCTTCTCTATTCTACTAGGTTTCACTATACAGTGGTGCCCCGCGTATCGACGATAAACAGTGCAGCAAAAATCGTTGCTATATGGATTTGTCGCTATGCGGAAAAAAAGCCCATAGGAATGCATTAAAACCTGTTTAATGCGTTCCTATGGGCAAAAAACTCACCTTTAAGCGAAAATCCTCCATATGGCCGCCATTTTCGCTGCCCGGTAAGAGAGCAATCTGGACGAAAACACAGCGGGTGGCCATTTTTTTTAACCCGGCAGCCATTTTGGAACCGCCGATCAGCTGTTGGGAAATCGTCGCTATGCGAAAATCGGTAAGCAAAACAGCTTACCAATCATCGCAAAGGGATATTTTCCCATTAAAAACATTGCAGTGCGATTGCAAAAAATCGTCGCTATGAGGATTTGTCGTTAAACGGAGCGCCCGTTAAGCGAGGCACCACTATATATGTGCTTGTCCACAATTAAGGTTTTTACTGTACATTTACTGTACTTTTAAACAGTCATATACCAAAAACTTACTGGATAGCTTTCTAAAATGCAACATAATAATAAATAATTACTTGTGCCATCACTCTCTGACAATGGCAACCCTTTTCAAGGTTTTCTAGGGATGCAACATACAAGCCATAAATTGGCTTTGGGAGAAAGTGCCAAAATGGAACAGATATGAGATAGCACAAAAGGCCCCTGGTAACTCTTAGAGTGTTTAGGGTGCCCCTACAAACCACTGAAGCTTGTTTCAGTATTCTGGGAGTTAAAAGTACAGACATGTGAACAATACGTGGTGCCAGTTGGTGTACCAGAACAGGAAGCAGCAAAGCGGAAAGACTGACAGCTGAAAGACACAGCCTCTCCTGGAAACTTCACTGAGAGTGGAGGGCTTACATCAACCTCACTGCACTCTGTTTATTGCCCAGCCACACAACAGAGCCACCATTACACACCAGTCATGGCAAGGAAGGGCGGTATATTGCTTTTTAGACTGGCTCTGTTCTAGAATTTTCTTCCTTTTTCTTTTAGGCATGTATTCATTTATTTCAACTTCCATACTGCCCCTAATATTAGGGCTAATCCTCTGTGGGCAGTTCACAAGCCATCAAAGCTATAATTACAAATCATACAATAAAAACTGCAATATATAATAAATACAATGAAAATCCTATCCCTAGTTGAAACAATAAAACTTACATTTAAATAGAATTAAGCAAATTCAAAACTGAATTGAACTGCTGCTTACTTAGCAGCAAGTCTCAACTATAGCAGGCTCAGTGAATCAGTGGGGACTTTATGAGTCAATTCCTCTGTATATTATACTGTTTTAATGGGACTACTCTAGATGTGTCTTACTATACTAAGGAATAAGATTTTTTAAATTTGCAGAACTATTTTTTTCCTCTGTTCTAGAGTGGATGGCTGCCAAAAAGCTAGCACTGATTTGGGTTAGGTAATTATTGGGCATGCCTGGGTAAGTCAGGCTACTGACTGGGGACATCTTCCACACATCCCTACTGGCATAATGTCAAGTTACACTGTCATAAATGTGCCGGGCATTATGCTTAACAACAAGAAACTGCATTAAGGAATTGCACAGTCGCACATCCCTGGCATTAGTGACTGCACAATGTGCCAATAGAAGTGCTTTCAAGATTGCACTTCCGTCTTGGTGCTATAACACAACTACCGCAGACATGTAATCTTGAGCTGCATGTACATAATCGTACAGTAAGATTCTGACCAATATATATTTTCCCTGAGCATGGCTCTTAGGGAAGGAATAAAGAAAGGATCTCTGGCTACAAACTGAAGATCTACCACCACAGTTGATCTCAACTCATCCCACCATTTTGTATTACTGTCCACATTTTCAGTTCTTTTTCTCAGGCATACAAATACCTGGAAAAAAAATTGGTTCAGGCCCCTTCCAAATGCACTTGGGGCAACTAAGTCCTCATCTATATAGCAAATATTCTGATACAAATCGCACTGGACAGTATTCACACATTTCTGATATACACTCAAATATTCAGACTGATTATTCAAAGAAATGGCTCCTACTGCTTTTATTACAAATATGGCATTTTGACCTACTTTCTGCCTAGAAAGCAAACCACAATCTTACCTGAAGCAATCACAAAGCCTATATAATTTGGAGAATAAATCTTCCCCTCCTTTATGTTCACCTCCTGAAGGAAATCTGGCAGTTTTCCCAAAGTAAAATGAAATGCATGCAAGTAACCCGCCCAGCCCATTAACACCTTCCCTGCAAATCAATTAAAAACAAACAAACAAACTTGGAAAGGAACCTTCCACTCACCTGTTCATCAAGGCCAGATTCAGGTGTGGAACATCGTGTATCCTCACTGGAGAAATGCCGCATGGAGTCCCGGGATAGAGAAGAGGTGGGGGGCCCAGAGAGTAGGTCAGGGCTGATGGGACTGCATGGAGAGTGGGTATGGGAGAAGTCAGAATGCACGTAGCAGTTGCCAACATCGGGTGATGCTGGTTGTGGGGTAGAGGGGTTCCCCAGTTGTGGGGTTGTCCGTCCATCTGTAGATCTGTAAGACCTGGAAATAATTTTTATTACATACATATTTTTAAAGTTTTTCAATTGTAGATGTTGGGAGCCACATTCACAAACATGGTATGCACACAATCAAAAGCATCCATGGGCTCTTAAATTCAATTCCTTGCCACGACAGTACTAATGATCCACAGACCATCTCGCTCAATTGAGACACAACTCCAAAAGGAGGGCAGGAATGTAGATAGATATTGGCTATCTTTGCATTTGCTACTAGCAAGCCTTCCCCCTCTCCCCCTATTCTGGCATGATCTTGTCCCTCCCTCACCTATCTGTTCTCATATTGTGACGCATCACCCTTTCCCAGCAGAAGGTTCTCTGCTCCTTTTAAAGATGTTGCCCCATGCTAGGAACTGCCTCCAATAACATTGATATAAGAGTACTTCCTTTAAAACACTCTTAAAATCCACCTTTCTAATCAATGTCTCTGGCACAACATTTTAGCCCTCCTACACCATGATTGCATGATCTAAATTGTGTATCCGGGACAAACAGGTGCATTTTCTTTGCATACTCCAGCTTTCATCTCCATATCCCTCCCTTTCTCCTCTTTATAACTGAAACCAAGTATTTCTTCAAGGCAGAAAACTGCCCTCTTATAGTCTGCAAGTGCCACACATCACACCCCTTTGCACTTCATTATTTGAAACTAGGTATCAAAAATAATGTTTTCGGATGGTTAGTACAGTGTAACAATTTAGGCTGATATAAAGGGTGGATTTGATTTATATCATGATTTTAAAAATGTCTGATTTTTTTGACAATGTAAATTTTAAAAATCTGATTTTCAAATTTAAATTGTGACTTAAATCAATTTGATTCTTTAAAAAAATCACTGGTTTTTATCCACCCTGCTCATATGCAAGGCTAGAAGTTGGAAATGTTAGCACACATTTGACAAGTCCAAAAATTCCCCAGACATTTGGGGATTAGTCATATTAAAAAAGTACCTTTTCTAACACATCTGTAACTGGGCCAGCTATAGAATCTAGAAGCAGCCTCCTCTGCCACTTTCAGCACCACTTATTAGATCCAGAAGGGCCTCCCCTCCACTGTTTCAGCAGTTACTCTTCCCTCCCCCACCCAAACACCAGCACATCCCCATACTCCACAAGGACACTGACTATGGGAATATGAAGGAACAGCAATGAACAGTGACCCCATAAACCCCAGCATTTGGACTTCTAGAACCTCCTTCCCAAAAAAAACACCAGCTAGCCTTACCTGCTGCCCCGGCGCTGAGGTGGCATGCATGTGCTCCACAGCCACCTCGCCCGCTCCATCTCCTCACATTTGGCATGGAGACTGGCAAAGGCTGCATCAGAAAGATCCTCTATCTGGAAGAGCAGTGGGTATAAGGTTAGCACTGAAATAGTCTCTAAAGTTCTAGTCATTCACAAGATAGTGTTAAAGCACTATACAACATTTCAGGGAATGTGTAGATTTCTCCACTTCAAGAACAGCTGCTGCTCTTGGGTCAGAAAAACTCTGCCCCTGCAATAGTAAATTCCCTGTCAAAGCAAAGAGAGGTTATGAGTGTAAAAAATGTGACACATTCAATGGTGGTTATAGCTGTGGCACATAAGCCATACACACGGCTTAGCTGCAAGGCACGAAAAGATTTATTTCTTGTTCATAATCATTCAGCACACAAAAAATCTCAGATGCTGCACTGATTCACCTATTTGGCAATAAAGTAAGACCACCATATCTGCAGGAGCAAGTATGGGCAGTGAACTTTCCCTTTTCTTTTTCTTTCCCAAAAGTAAGGGTTGAGATTATCTTGCGTTCAAGTCCACCAATCACTTTCTGTGCACAGGGACTCAGAAGAGCATGACCATATGCCATTAACGATGACTAGTTAAAGTGATCACTTTTTAATAACAAACAAATGGCCATTCTCTACTAATCTGTATAATGCACCTCTCCTCATATGATTCCACTTCTACTCAGCCTCTTGCTGAAAGGTGGTTTCATTTTTTAAAAAGAATTAGATTAAATCCTGCCCTATCCTGGAAGCACACTCGCCAGAAACTTCACCAAAGGACAAAAATCCAGCATGGGAACAGGTTACCAAAGAAACTGACTGTGTGGTCAAAACAAATCTCTTCTCAACCCTGCCCGGGAAGTTTTCTTTCAAGCAGCCCAGTGTCACTGTCTCAATTTAAAGCTTTAAGAGCACTACCACACTGGACAGAGGTCTATTCAGTTAATTCTAGCTTCCATAGTGGAGGTGGTTAATAAGTTATGTGCCTGCAGAGAAAGCCCCTTGAAGGAAATGACTGGCAGACAGCTGAGACAGTTTGCTCCTTTATAGCCACTGTGTGGTTTCATGTACAGTGGTGCCTCGCATAGCGAGCGTCTTGCTATGCGATGAAACCGCATAGCGAGGGGTTGCGGGCCATCGCCGGAGGGTTCGCTCAGCGATGGCCCCTATGGGCTTTTTTTGCTATGCGATGATCGCGCAGACACGATCAAAGCATAGCAAACAGCTGATCGGCGGTTCCAAAATGGCCGCCGCTAAAACAAAATGGCGACCACTGTTTTGCCTCGCTAACGAGGCATCCAAAATGGCCGCCGCAATGGAGGAACGTCACAGAACAGTGAGTTTTAAGCCCATAGGAATGTATTAAATCAGTTTTAATACATTCCTATGGGCTTTTAAAGTTCACTTAGTGATGTTTCGTTGGGCGAGGGTTAATCCGGAACGGATTAACCTCGCTAAGCGAGGCACCACTGTATGGGGAAGAGATACAGAAGATCCTTTAGGCCAAAAAAAGGGGGGGCCTGTGCGGGACCACCTTGTGGCCCCCACCCCAGGTGTCCACACCAACAGCCATGGCATAATGTTACGAGAGAGAAAAAAGCATCACAGCTTTACAAACAATCTTCTTTTGAGATATCTTTTTTGTCGGAACATTTATGGTGTTAGTCCAATCCAATCAGTGCAGATCTCTATGGAGATTTTTGTTGCCCAGCTGTTGAAAGATGATGAATAGATACATAAGATTCTTTCCCTCTTTCCGCCCTCAAATACTTATCTGCATCCCACCTCCCCCCATCTCTTCTGGGTCATAAGGAATGATCTGAAATTAAACTGGCTGTTGAGGCTCTAAAAGAAAACAATATTTCTGGTATCTCAGTACACAATTCCAAACACCATCCATTCACAGAAAAATAACAGACTGTCTTTTGAGTATACATTTGTGTTTGGAGGTGCAGGGGGAGATAATTTTTGCTTTGTTCTCCAATAAGGACCTAGTAGTTCCGAGATATTGCCACTCGTTTGTGCTTGGGGAGGGGAAAGCTATTTTTCACAGAGAACTTGTCCCAATCAATTCTGGGGAATTAAAAAATCTTGTCAAAACTTAATGAGTCTTCAATCAGTCTTTCTGATCACTGCTGCTGAGGATCGTCAAAGTGTTGGTCCTTGATCCTGCCAACCATTAAGACTATTTATAAGTAGACCGAGCAGGTTAATTTAAAAGGATGGTGGGATGGCACCAAGAATTCAGGAGCTGGTAACCATTCTAGCTTCCTTCATTCACAAAAGGCATAGGTCCATTGACTGGAAGATAACTTTCTCTTTCGGGGGTACCTCTTCAACCTTATCTCTGGTGTTGTAAATGCAGAAAGCATCACCAAGTATGATGAGGCATTGATGCCACTACCTCACTATGCAGCCCACAAGATGCTTATATTGCTCCGATTTGCCACCTGGTTCTTGCACAGCTTTAAAATCTCTCTCTTCTTCCTGGTCAGGTCTAAAGGAAGACCCATCCCAGAACATTGTCAGGATGTTAGTGATCTGAAGATACCAAAAGTGATGAGTACATTTTGCACTCACAGATCTCACATTGTCAGGATGTTAGTGATCTTAAGATACCAAATACTGATGAGTACATTTTGCACTCACAGATCTCTTTTCCCCACCCTCCTTCCTGAGGGCAGTGTTCATATTTTGATGCGTTCACATCTGAGACTCTTCCACCATTAGAAAAAGCTAGGTTTTCCCAGGAAAAGGAACAGGAGAGTCTTCCTGCTGCAACCACAGTATTTCCTCCAGTTTATGAGACAGCAATAGCTGCTTCCCTCTGGATTTCACTAGGCCTTCCATCACTAACAGCTCCAAAGAAATTCGTGTGATGACAGAGTATGGAGGTCAATTTCCTTAACCACAGCTGTATAAATTTAGATGCCCGAGAATCTGGGTCAAGGACATTTAAACTGAAAATGTCTGCATCCAGCATTCATTCAAGGCCAAACTCATTCCTCATCCATCAAAGCTCTTCCTTGTGGAGAGCAAGAACGGACTGCTTTTTACCCAGCATTTACATGGAGACAAACCCATACTGTGTTCCCAACTCTTCCAATATCTACCTATTTGAGTTAGGTGACTAGATGCGTACATCTGGTGCAGTAGAAAGATAAAAGAAACTGAAGACAGTTGTATCTTATATCTTCTTTGGAGATATTTGTATCACAGTTGACCAATAGACAACACAGATCCTCCAGTGGTCATATCAGAGAATGAAATATGGAGAATGACTAATTCTGACTAACATGTGTCTATATTATATTCCAGTGTCTTTTCCACACATCTGTATATGCACTCTAAAGATATATATTCTACAGTCATGTCCAATAGGCCGAAAGAGAACAGCAGAAGCCAACAGCTATATCTGCCAGTTGTCAAACAGACTAATTAGTCATGGTAACATGGTCCTAGCTTTCCTTGAACTCAAAAAAAAACGTGCTTAGTCTCCATTCACTCTTCTGTACACCACCCCACTTGTTCTAGAATGAGGTGAAGTGATAAAGGCTGCCATGTTTCTGGGCAAAATGAGGCCATGGAGAAACAAGAGTGATATAATGAAATGCTTGGGTGAATCCTGATATTTGAAGCAGAAAAAAACCACACATTTTGGAAACCAGCCAACCAACCAAGGGGGCACACATACATCCCCCAAATGTGTGCTTAGTACGGAGAATACTCAGTCATCAAGGACGGTGATGCTTTGAATAGGAAAATGGGAAAGAGGCAGAGGGGAGTGTGTTTGGGGGAATGTTCCACTTGGAGTAGCTGCTGATATTTTGTTTCTATCTCCTTTTTTTGTATAAGGTTTCAAAAATAGTTTATTATGATCTCTTAGTAACATCATTACATTGCAGGATTTTATGGAAAAGAAGGCCCATGTGCAGAAATTATCCATCCATGGGAATTTTCAAACAGAACCATTCTTAGGCAAAGGACTGACAGGCTATTGGAAATCTGATGATGGTTAAAAGAAGTAATCTAAAAATCTTCCTCATCTTGGCATTTCAACAAACTCTAGATTTCTTTTCTTCTTCTGTTTTCTCTTCAGGAACCTGGAATCTCTTCTGCTTTCATTGTGAAGAAGCATCCAGATGTTACCACCACGCAGGAATCCACTCCCTTTCCTTTGGCTCCCATAAAAGATGCCTCGAGGTCTCTGAACCCCTTTCGGCCATTCATACCCTATTTGTTGATCATTGTCAGCACCACTGGATGGAATGGGGCTAGGGACTTTAGTCCTGCCTCAGACTTCAGAGTCTAAAACAATGTCCAGGGATAAGCCCTATCAGCAAACAAAAGTGAAGAGTCATATGACACATTTCTGCCACCTTGAACTCACTGGAGGACAGGAACATAACAAATAACAATAATGGGCTATAAATATCCTGATACCTCACTAGATTCCACCGAAATAAGTAGTGTGTGAGCCACCTTGTGTAAGACCTGGAGGAAAAGCTATCTGCACAGTGGCCAGGACTTTCACACTGGAGTTTCATTTCTAATTGCTTTAGCATTTTTAATGAATCCATAGCATACCTGAACAAGCATCTGAATTTGGATTACTTGCAAAGTTAATCCAAACAAAACGCAAGAGCATCATACCACTACTCTCTTGGGGGGAAAAAAAACCCAAAACAGTAGGAATTGGATGTATATACCACTTAGCATTCTATCACTGGGAGGAACTTCAGACAGCCATTTAAAGTGCCCCCAATTCTCCCCTCAAAAAGAGAACACGGACTAGCCCTGGACTACCTAAAAAAGAACTCTTCTAGGGGAAGAGGAAAGGGAGAAGATTTGAGTTGACCATGTGATTGTTTGAATGTCACCAACATGCTGGTTCCTGCCATCCTCTTTTGATGAAGTGTTCTACACTGAGAGGAGGGAGGAAGATGGGGATGTACAGGGAACCATATGGAGGCTACCAAGAGAATCAGGATGATTACCTCTTCATTGTCTTCATCTGGGTTCACCTTCAGGGCACTGATATCCACCACGCGCCAGCTGCAACACAGGGCCACCAAAGTACAGTTAGTCAAAAACTAGGTGGAAATCCCCCAGTACCCCACTCTTATGAGGGTAGGCATCTTGTCCCTGAGGACAACAGGAACAATTTTGCACACACCAAGCAGTTTAGGGAACCGTCACCAGAAATGCCTGCTGTTTATGGACACAGCCCATAATGTTTTGCATTAGTTTTTAAAGAAGTTAAAAATCAACCATTATTTTGGAAAAAGTAATACATTACTCTTTTCCTGTTTTTTTAAAGAAATGCAATTTTCCTTAAAAATAGAGGGGAGGAAATTATTTGCTTCTCTGCAAAATCAGTATTTTGGAAGTACATAATAAATAAACATTATTTGCTATGCATTTTTGAAACTACCATCATTATAAGTTATTAAATTACTTCACAAATATACAATCATTATGATACCTCCAAAAGGAACACATTTACTAGTAATGCTGTTACTTGAGACATTTTATTTCCAAGATCTGATTAACGGGGAGGATATTTTATATATTTCTACTTTCCCCTTCATCACAGATGCGCCCGAGGGTACCTCCTTTTAGCCTAGAAGGTGGGTAAGATCAACACAGTGTTTTACTCAAGACCACCCAAGGTGGCGTCTGGGCCAAGAAAGCTCAGCCAGGGAAGTGCAAGCTCCCCTTCATATCTCTGACTCTCACTGCCTTACAGAGCCTAATCTAATTCTCAGTATGGCTCCCTCACCGAAAGCTGAAAGCAGTTTTTCAGGTTTTTCAGTTCCAACAAAACTACAGTGGTATCTCGCAAGACGATTACCCCACAAAACGTTTTTTTTGCTAGACGTTTACTTTTTGCGATCACTATAGCACCACTGTACACATTCTGGCAGCCCCCGGAACATCTCTGCCTGTTCTGAAAGCCACAAATCTTCTCAGCAGCCTTATCTCAACATCCTGCATTATCCCATACTGTCCCACTCTTATGAAGATATGAAGCTGCCATATAACCATGACACGCACATCCAGATAGGGGTGAGGAACAGAAAACAAAGCAGTGTAACATGTGCTTGGCTTAGGCAGAGGAAAGAACTGAGGAAAAGGAGCCAAGGTGAAGGTCTACAGATGCTGTGATCTCTGCCATGCCTCTGCAGCAGCAGTCAGCCCATTCCTGAGTGGCTTCTGCACAGAGAACTGCACTACTAACCCATCTGGCTGGATTTGGAGCAACTAGGAGACCAGGAAGGTTGAAGACGTTACATCTCTGGACGTACCTTGGTGTGATGATTTCCTTGTACTGCAGCTTTTCTACCCGGGTTGTTGCAGCTACTGACATAGGGATGACAATGTTGTTAATGTCAAAAGAGCTTTCCCCTCTCCGCCTCCTTGGCTGCTGCTGAAAAGCAAACACAGAACATGGAAACAATCAAAATGTGAGATGAAACGGGAAGCCATTCCAAGGCCAAGCAGTGGCACTAGGCCAGGGGGAAAGGCATCGCGTAGGGTGTCCCCTCACTCCATGTGGGGACTCAATCAGACCAAGCAGCTGCCATTGGAATATGAGCCACAAAATACACACCAGAGGAAATGTTGTACCATGCTGCCTTCCAGCCAAATTGGGGAATCCCTACTGCTAGAAATGCCAAGGATGATGATCAGCTCAATTATCTTGGCCTCTATTTGTTTTAAATATTCAAAGTAAATGAGAGTTATCCATTGCACACAAACTCAGGGCTCCTGGCTTTTTTCTTTCCCTGCCGTGATAAGCACCTATGTGAAACAACATAGGAGTTACCATTTCTAGACAGAAGGATTCATAAACTTGTTGTTCTAGCTAAAGATGGCAGGCACTGTAGTTTTGGAGCGGGGCTGGATAGAGGACCGCTACGTTAGGTCATCTCTACTGTAAAGAGAATCTCAAGAATGGAATACTGGTGCCCCATTTTGCCAGGATCAGAAGAGGGAGAATGGAGACCTCCCCAAAATGCAATCTCGAGTTCTATGGTCGTATCAATTTTATGGGAAAATCAAATGAAAACAATCACACAGTCTTATATATTGGGGGGTGGGGGGTAGGATCTACCAGAGGGACAATAATATCTGAAAAACCTCTAGACCTTCCCTCTTAACACATTTTCTGATTGTGCATGTGCCATAACTGTAACCATGTCATATTTTACCCTTAAATGTGAGTCTTTTTAAAAAAGAACTGATATTCAGGCAAGCCAGCAAACTAGATACATTTCTAAAAGTACAGATCCTACTACTTCCCCCGCTCAACCCACCCTCCTAAATCTCAACGTGTGGAAGTTTCTCTACATGTTCTCTCCATATCCATAGCAACAATGAGTGTTTAGCTAGTCTGCACATCTCGCACATTATATCTTAATAGCAAACTTCCTGCATGTCGGGGAAGGCTGCTTCTCAAGATTCCACTATGCTCCACCACCAAAAACATCCCCCATGGCTGAACCAACCGTGTGACAAACACATGGCACTTTTTTTTTTGTGGGAAAGGCTCACAGGGAGGTATCCCTAGAAGTTGCCTCTCTCCCATGCCTGTTGCTAAGCAGCTTTCTAAAGTTCCCCAATAAAGTGCTATTTGCCAGTCCTTTTTAGTTGTTGTTTTAGTAACCAGGACTACATCGACATGTGCCTTCTAAGTATAATTTACAGACTTGTTCCATTTTATATCAAATGACTGTCCTCTTCATTTAAAGCCAAGACGGCAGAATTCCTTTTCTTCCAACCTTAAAGGTCTAGTGAAGATTACTATGTATTCAGATATTGTTTTAGTCCCACTTATCTAAAGAAGAGATGGTTTTTGAACTGCTGGAGAGTTGAGTGCTTTAGGTCTCTCGCTGCCAAGCCAGAGGTTGAGAGTTCAGTTTCGTGTTCTGCCTCCTTGACAGGGGCTGGACTTGATGATCCATAGGGTCTCTTCTAGCTCTGCAGTTCTAAGATAATGTTGGCTTTAATGTTCTTGGCTTTAAATTATGATTTCCCTAATGTCATATGGACACACTGAACTGTTATAAGGGGAAATATGAACTCGATTAATTTAGATTTTTAAAGTATTAAAGTTTTGCCTAACTTGCTTCCGTAGCATGGAACTAATAAGGCACAGAAGTACAACTAGTACCATCAAAAACAAAAAGAACAATAGTTACCATTTTCGCATTGTCTTCCTCCTGCCCCCCCAGTATGAATCACATGGATAAAGCTGGGTAAAGACTGAACGCATGCATCTATGGCTGTTAAAATTGCACTTTAATCACACAAGATGACTGACATAAAAGATAAGGTGGAAAGGAGATGCATAACATACTAGGCAATTTACTGGCCCTCAGGGCAGCCTGCTAATGGTGGGGATAGGATTGTTACACCCATAGAAATCTTAACACTGATTGGCTAAGCACAAGTCACCTGATATGCATCAGAGGGCTCTCTATTATTTGGGTACTCAAGAGATCCAATGAAGTTATGCATCAGCAGGAGCCAATGAGGAAGGAGCTACAAACCTCTTAATTTCAACTACTCCTTTCTCCTTCCCCTACTCTTTGAATACACACAATCTAATAGAGGACAAAACTGTGTAGTCTTTGGCTCCTTCTGGGTGTAGGCACGATGGTCTGGTGCGGTCCCAGGGGCAGCTCCGGCCTGTAAGCTCTCTCTCCCCCTAGGCCAGGTGGTTGATGTTGAGAGGGGGTGAGGCAGCCAGGAGCAGCAGGCTGTATAACATACTAGGCGATTTACTGGCCCTCAGGGCAGTCTGCTAATGGTGGGGATAGGATTGTTACACCCATAGAAATCTTAACACTGATTGGCTAAGCACAAGTCACCTGATATGCATCAGAGGGCTCTCTATTATTTGGGTACTCAAGAGATCCAATGAAGTTATGCATCAGCAGGAGCCAATGAGGAAGGAGCTACAAACCTCTTAATTTCAACTACTCCTTTCTCCTTCCCCTACTCTTTGAATACACACAATCTAATAGAGGACAAAACTGTGTAATTTTATTGCACTAGTAATGATACTACGCACAAAACACAGTGCACAACAGCAGCCTAAAATGAATAACAATTATGGAAACTTGCCTAACATTATTCAGGTATTTATACATTTATATCCTAGTGTTTTCTGAAGGATTACCCTCAGAGTGGGGAATGCGTGATACCCCACCTGACCCTGGTTTAGCTAGACCAGTGGTTCTTAACCTTTGTTACTTGGATGCTTTTGAACTGCAACTCCCAGAAACCCCAGTCAGGACAGCTGGTGGTGAAGGCTTCTGGGAGTTGCAGTCCAAAACTCCTGAGTAACCCAAGGTTAAGAACCAGTGAGCTAGACTACAAATCTCAATGGACCTAGCCAATGTACCCACAGGGAAGAGATGGCATTTACAGTACAACCATATTTAGAGGATGCAATGTCCCCCACACACAACATGCCAAGCTTTTAACAAATAAAAAGAAATATGCAATCAAAGCCAATAAACTGCCTCCTCCAAAAGTTTGTCTGGCCTTTGCAGGAACATAACAGAGAAAGAAGTCCAAAAGGATCAACTTTTCTTCCTGTTGTGTAAGTGCTTCCAGGCACAGGAAAAACAAAAATAAAAACCATTTCAAAAATCTACCATCTAAAAGCATCAAGACAAAAACTCAATGAAATGTTATTTCCACATTCACTACCAGCTTACCCAAGAAATCATCTTAGTTTGTTCTGAAGATTTTGGCTGTGGTAATTCAAGTCTCTGAGGAGAAGTCATTCTAGCTAAAAGAGCAACTAGGAACAAACACGCCTCTCTATACAGCCATGTGTCTCTATGGCTTGCCTCAGTATAATACTCATGGAAAAGGCAGAGGTGAAAGGGTGACCACTTTTCCAACCTGATGTTCTCCAGATGTGTTACTCTACAACTCCCATCAGCTCCAGGCAGCCTGATCTTCGGTCGGAAAGTCTGGAAGTTGAAGACCAAACATCTGAAGGACTAACTGTTGAGAATTACTACTCTCAGCCACACAAGGTGCAACAGCTTATTAGAAAAAACTGGTGGCTGTTCTAGGTCTTTCCATGTCAGAGACAACGATCTTACTCAGGATATACAATCATGTCTGGTAAGCACATTCTAGACCATCCAAAACTTCCCTTGTTCCTTCTAGGAATCTTCCTGGCGTTTGTAGCTACATCATTAGATACATGCATTTGTAAAGCTTGTAGGGCTCAGCTCCATAACCAATCAGCCAGTGACTGGAACCTCATTGTTTAGTGTAGTAAATCACACTAGAATAGGCCCTTTGAATCAGTAGGGATTTGGTGAATCAACTCCTTCATATCTTCCACTGATTCAAATGAGCCTAACTCAAATTGCAACTTACTACACTAAGTAACAGGATTTTACCCGCTATTTTTGACTGGTATGTTTCCCTGCTACAAGAGACCCGAGCTTCAAACTCAAAATATGCTGCTGCTGCTTCTGCAGTGGGGATTTCAAACCCCTGACCCTGGCTCTACAGCCATCTGCTCCAACTTACCGAACTAACCAGTCAAAGCTACCCTTACATCTATTTTATAACACTGCCATTAAATTATAAAAACAGAAACCAGATGAACTTCACTGACCTTGTTCAGCAGCTGGTCCCAAACACAAAAAGGTAAGTGGCCTCCTAAATCTCAGCACTATTTGTACTGAGTGACAGAAAAAAAAGCACACACCTTTTCTGTGGTAAACAAAGTGCTTCTCATAGACTGCATATGGATTACCAGAGCAGTCCCTAAACAAAACTTTTTTTCTTTCCAGTTAGAAAGATATCAAAATTCTGCTCAATTGAAGTTTTGAAAAGAGCCCTTTCCCAGGCTAAATGAAAATTGGGAGGGGGGGGGAGATAACAAAATTTCCAATCACATTCCTCAAGAGGGCAAAAGACATCAAGAAAAAAAAGGTGATGGTGGAATCAGAAGTGCTGCTAAGATCTTGGGAGAGGGGGCACATGTATTCCCAGGACCTCTGAAACCTGACCACCTCTGAACTAGTTCCCATGTCCACCTGTAACTCAAGCTAGAGGTACAGTATACAATTTGAAGGAGTGCACACTCTACTCCTCTCTACACTTGTCTGTAGCTTCTTCTGCTTCCTGGAATATCCTTGTGCCTTGTTTTAGGTTAAAAGTTCTTGGGGGTGGGGGGGAATGACAGACTTTGCCTCCTGTATTCCATCATATATTGTGCATAGTGAAGGAGGTAAATAAATACCACCCTATCTCACTGAACACTTCTTTATGAAAAAGACCCACCATGCGCAGAAGGGTACTTACAGACGCATTAGAGGTGCCCAGTGAGCTTGCACTGGCAGGCGGGAGGGAGTTTTCCGAGGAGGTGGACAGCTGCCGCACGAGGGGACTGTGAGCTGTGGAGGCCATGGTGCTGGACAGATAGCTTGGCCCTCCAATATCTGTATGGTGCTTCAACACTATGTGAGAAGGGAGCAAAACAAAAGGGAGAAGACAATGAACAGAATAAATAATGCTGGTATTGTCCTAATGATTAGCATCAACCTGCAATCAAACCATCTAAATCAAAGAACCCGAGAGTACATGAGAGAGAGAAAGGGGAACCTCCTCAAGTAGGATCTCCTCCTAGAGGAGGAAGCTGTTCAAAAGCACACATGGAGAGAGACTGCAGCATCTTGCACCACGGCCCCCTTGGCTTCCCCCAAAGCAGCAAGCACCCTTCTCCGAAGCTGGAGGTAAGGGAAGAAGAATACAAAACCCAAGCTCTCCCGGACAGACCTGGCTGTGGCCAGCCTACCTTCACTTCTCTCGGAGGAGCTGTCCCGCAATCGCTTTCTCTCATGAACTGGAGTCAGGATAAGCGAGCGCTCAGGCGCTCTCTCGACCTTGGGAGCAGCCCTTAGATCGTCTAAGGACTGCCTGTGTGCCTTGTCTGGCTCGGTTTTGTGATGCGAGCAAGCTGAGGAGTGGAACAGAAAGAGAGCCATGAAAATGCCCTGCTTTCACCCTCTCTTTTCCTGGCTTGCAGGACACAGCCCTCACTACAAGGAGCCCTGCTGCTGAGACCAGAACAAAACCCTGGGAGCTCCCGCTCAGCTTTACTGTGCTTTTTGCTGCTGCAAAAATGCAGGGCAGGCCCTTTGCCACAAATGCATCTCAAGTGAACAGCCAAGTGACTATTCATACCTGTCTACTCCTTTCTTTGCTGCACATCGCTATCTCCTGTAGCATGAACACAGCTGCTTATCTTGTGACTTGACAATTGGGCTGGGTACCTCCTATAATTCCTACAGTGTGTTCCAAGGCAGTGTACATGGCTCTCCTCCTCCCCACTTTATCCTCACAACAAACCTGTGAAGTAGGCCAGGGTAGGAGGGAATTGGCTCAAAGACAAATAAGCCGAAATCCTCTTGCATCTATTACATCTGGGTAAAGGTGACAACATTACTGGCAGGGCGCAATTTTTTGGTAGTTAAAAGAGTTCCAGCTTTTCTCTTGCAGCTCTTACGCATGTTTAAGCTCTAGAATATTCCGGAGATCTCTGTGCAGGTTAACTAACTCATTAGTGTGCATTCAGAGACTACGAAAAAGAAGGAAGGCATTTCTTATTACTGAAAAATCCTCCCCTGGCCACAACTTCACCTGGTGGTGGTGATATTCAGTTATTAAAGCCTTCCAACTTTTATCCTGCTACTCCTATGTCATAAACAGATTGTTAGCTGTGTAAGCCATGGGAGAGAAGGTCTTTAATTATCATAACTCTCACCCGCTGGTGATGTCATCACCACTCCAGAGGCGTAACTTATATGGGACAATTTTTGCCATATGTATTTCATGGTTTGGTATAGACCAGAACCTGAATGTAATTTCCCAACTCATTGTCCTTCATTTTAAAAAGCAGACATGACGTTCATGTCCTTTTTGCTTCCAGAGTACACAGGAATCCATAGGCAATGAAGCAGGATGTTGTGTTACGAAGTGTAAGGAGAAAGTGAGTAACCACTGCGAAAAAATTTGTTCTCTAAATTCTGCTTGCCTAAGAGTGTTCCCTTTACTGGCAGATGGAAGCAGATGGTAATTGAAGAGCTGCTGCTTTGATCTTGGGGATCACCAGATCTGCCCACAATCACTCTCACTGCGGGAGAGTCCCATAATCAAAGCAGTAACTCTTTAATTACTGGCAATCTCCTATTGCCAATACATCATATATGTAACAACTAAGTTCATGACCTACCTTTCCAGCTGTATCAATTATATACATAACATTCCTGATGCTCAGAAATGAGTATCCCTAGGAAATAAAGGGCAGGACATGCACCTATGTATCAACAAATTCATTGAGAAACATGCAAAACAAGGAATTTAATGCATAGGTGACTGTGGGATTCTTGGGAGTTGCATTCCCACCATCTGGATAACAGTAGATTGGGGAAGGCTGAATCAGCACATTTTTTAAACTTGATTGGCTCCCTTCCTGTAGGGAGGACAGACAGCAAGCGTTGTACCCAAGTAGCAATGTGCATGCATTGCAAGCTCTCAAAGACACAGGTCAATTATGAGGGCAGACAAAAGTACTTTATTATTATTTCACATGTTAATTTCTGGCATCAAACTGCATTCTGTGGCATCACACAAGTCACGTATACAGTATGGCTCTGCTAAGAGACACTTTGGATCATGCCTGTCAAAACAAGACCAAAACTGAGATAACTTACTAGCTGCAGCTAAGAAGGTATTAACTAGTTTGTGACGATCCTTGCGCGCAGAGTCAGACAGGCCACTGGGAGGCATGGTTGGCCGATGCTTCAGCGTCAGCTTTTTGGGTGGTTTGATTTTCTCACAGGGCTTGTTCTGCAGCTGGGATTTCAACATGCTCTGGAAATGCAAACTCATTGGTACATCTGTAGAGAAACACATACAGAGAGACAAATGAAAACAGGAGGGGGTTACTACAAAGCAAAGTGTGCTGCTTACATACTGCCACATAGAAAGTGCTCTCTGGGCAGTTTACAATTTAACTATGCAGTTTACACACTGACCTCCCCCAGCAAGCTGCGTAGTCAATTTACTGACCTCAGAAAGAGTCAACCTTGAGCTGACTACCTGAGGCTGTGGGGATCAAACTCAGGTTGTGAGCAGAGTCTTGCCTGCAGTACTGCAGTTTAACCACTGTGTCATAAGACTCTGCATAGTATGATGTGTGCCTTTATTTGTAACCCTGCAAAGGGGTTCTCAATAAGCACACACACATTGTGCATGTAGCAGAAAAATCTTCTCTGAATGTGATTTGATGAGTCAAAGAGGGATCATCAAGGACCTGCAGCATGTAGTTTTTTGTGGCAGAGTATTGTGTGGTGCATAAGATAATTTTGCAATAATCTAACATTATTCCTGCAACCAATCCCTTAGAAACAAACTCTTCCTTCTACTAGAGGCAGGACTTCAGATTATTCAAGCAAGCCAAGGATGGAGATAATCAGGAGGACACCGACCAATCAAACCACCATCCAACCCTCCCTCCTTCCTTCTCTCAATGCTTCTCTAAAATCTGGCCCAAGGAAGCATGGCTCTTCAGATGCTGTTAGAATACAACTCCTATCAGTCATAACTTGCATAACTATTGGTCAAAAACTGTTCCCCACTCCTTCACAAAAATTCTTGAATGCTTTTAAAGCTTCTGCAATATTTTGTGTATGCTCATGCAATCACAAAATTTCCTACCTCATTTCTCCCACCCCATTTTTCCAACCATTTATCTGTTTTTCAGTAATACATTCTGCCCAATAAACTTTAAGAGAAAAAGGGAAAGGAAAAAGGAAAAGGAAACATTTTAATGGACTCTGACAGCACACATAGATACACAACACAAATCCTGAGTCCCAGGAATAGAAGCTGCTAATGTGGTCTAATAAACAAGGGAATTCTCTGTAACGTCTTCTGCACAGAAGTTCATGGGGCACCCACTTTTGTTTTTGTGTCAGGGAAGTGTCTTCTATGCCCCTATTTTTCTATGATTTTAAGTCTTAATACAGTAGAATTTGACTGCTGTTTGCATTTATTTCAGTGTTATGCTGTGTTGCATTTTGCTTATTCAGCACAATTCTTGTTTGCATTTATTTTATCAGTGCTAAACAGTTATCTCGGCATGTAAGTACTTTCAATGAAATCAATAAAATGGTTACTATGGATAGAAGCTTAGGAAGGTAAGAAGGCCAGTTGAACAACAAGAGAGCAGCTGATGAGAGGGTGTGAGCTGGAGATATTAATAGAAAGAAGCTTAAGTGCCAGGCTGAGAAAGATCTCTCTCTCTCTCTCTCTCTCACACACACACACACACACACACACACATACAGAGAGAGAGAGAGAGAGAGAACATGTATTTAATATGATCTAACAATTATGGCTTCAGCCTTATCCACTGTTGCGTTGAGAAACAAGAGGATGTAAAAGAGGCATCCAAAAGGGTTGCATTTGAGGGTGTACGGTGATTTTCTGCATGCATGTAAGAGAGAGAAAAGTACACTGCTGATTAATAGAAGCAATACTCTGTGATCTGCTAGTACAGCTGAAAATGAAACCAGATAGTTTTACTCTCCCTCAAGCTCCCTGATGCACTGTCAGCCAACATACGACTGCACCAAAACGGCATTGTGACATGCCGAGAGAGAGAGAGAGAGAGAGAGAGAGAGAGAGAGAGAGAGAGAGGCAATTTTCCCTATCGGTCCAAATGTTTCAAGAGCAGCAGGTCTTTCCAGAGTCCCCAGATGGCGCTCTTTTAGCGGTTTTTAAAGGCCTGATTAACATCCTTTTCACCAAGGTTGTTATGATGTTATTACGTCATCTGGAAATTTCCAGTCAGATATCAAGTTGTCCAGACGAGGGCAGAGGACCTCATGAGCCAATTCACACTGACTGAAAAGAAGACCCAGTTGAGGGGAGGGAGGGAGAGAAAGAGAAAGAGAGAGGGAAGTGGGAGGAAAAGATGCCTGCTTGCCTATCTGTTTAAATCATACCTCCTGGATCTCCCAATAGTGCATGCCATGTAGAATAGCACTCAACAAATTAGGTCAGGAATGCCCAGCAACTGATGCCAAGGACAGCCAAAATTCTTCCCAGGAACTCACTTACAAACTCACTCACTCAGTCACAAACTCACCGTCTTTTTTTTTTTGTCTAAAAACTGTCCAATCACTGTAATTCAGGTGGGCTTGGCTGCCTATCTCTATAGATTCAAAAACAAAGTATGTGTATCAGGTGGGGAGGACCACACGTTATCAAACTCGCTTCTACTTCTAAAGGACCACTGCCTGGGGTCAGCAATCAGCATGCATGACGGGATAAAGGAAGTCCTCTCTATTAGTCTTGAGTGCTGCTTCCAAACTGGGCTTGGGGGTCAGCATTATACTGTTCACAATGCATAGAGAGAGAGAATTCCTTTCATTGCCCTGGTCTTACCATCTGGGAATGAGAGAACAGGGTGGATGCAGGAGTCCAGCTGCGAGAGGCGCTCCATCAAAGGGGCTTCATACTGGATTTCTGGAGGCACTGAGCTCCGAGTGCTGCAAAGAGCACATGAGGGGTTCATGTCACAGCTGCATCGCCCCATGCTGCTGCGATGGACCTGGAGTGAAAAAGGGTACAGGAAAGGTCTGAGTACCTGGACAACAAGAACCAGCGAGAGCCAGATTTGTGTAGCTGTTCTGGTAGAGGTCTGAGAGATTCTGGTTCAAATCCTCACCAAGACATGGAATTCTTTGGAACAGACATGTTCTCTCAGAGCTTGATTTACTTCGCAGGGTTGTTGTGAGAATAAGGTGAGAAGAATAAAAGAGAGGTTACCTACTTGTAACCATGGTTCTTCTAGTGGACCTCTGTGAATTCACACAAGTGGGCTTCTTCTGCGCCTGCGCAGGACGTTTCGGATGTTTCTAGAGCTTCAAAATGATTTTACAATAAGATACCCCCTTTGGAGCGCAAGCTCCGCCCCTCCGATCTTCCCCTCAGTTCCTTCTATAATCCGCCGCTATCAAAGTAGGATTACACCTATTAGTAGACAACGTGATGGACAGAGGGGAGGAAGGGAGGGATTGTGTGAATTCACAGAGGTCCACTAGAAGAATCATGGTTACAGGTAGGTAACCTCTCTTTCTTCGTCGTGGCCTCTGTGAATGCACACAAGTGGGTGACTGACAAGCTCACCTACTGGATGGTGGGATATCACGGTAGCAGAGATGTCAGGATAGCTCTGCTGAAAGCAGCATCACTGTCTGCCCTGACATCGAGGCGACAGTGTTTCACAAAGGTTGATGGACTGGACCAGGTAGCTGCTTGGCAAATGTTCTGTAATTCTATTCCACGATGCAGAGCAGTCGATGTTGACATTGCTCTAATGGAATGAGCTTTTAGTTGGTCAGGGATTGACTTGCCCGAGAGTTCATATGCTAGTGACATAGTCTGAACTATCCATTGGGATATGGTCTGTGCCGAAGCCGAAGCACCTTTATTAGGGCCGTGATAGCATACAAATAATCTAGGCGACTTTCTGCATTCTCTAGTCCTGTTGGTATAAAAGGCTAAAGCTCTTCGGACATCTAGCATGTGGAGCTTGCGCTCAATGGACGTTGATGGGGCTGGAAACAAGGTTGGTAATATTATGGGTTGGTTCATGTGGAATTTGGAGACAACTTTGGGAAGGAATGATTCATCAAAGTACATGGTGACCTTGTCAGGATGAAATGGTAAGTATGGGGAATCTGATCTAAGAGCCGCCAATTCACTAGCTCATTTCATAGATGTGATTGCGAAGACCATCTTCAAAGATAATAATTTTTCATTGCAGGTAGCCATGGATTCAAAAGGAGGTTGGGTAAGAGTATCTAGAACTAATTGTAAGGCCCATTGGGATACAATTTGTTGAGTTGGAGGTCTGATATTTTGAAGAACTTTCATACATTTTTTCAAAGTGGGATGGGAGAAAAGTTTTGATGCTTGAGAGTGGGGTTGTCGATGTGCTACAATCGCTGATATATAGACTTTGATAGTAGAATATGACAGTCCAAGGTCGAGTAAGTGGAGAATAAAGGTGAGTACAGTGGTGCCTCACAAGACGAGCGCTTCGTTTAACAAAGAAATCGCATAATGAAGAAGTTTTTGTGATTGCGAAAGCGATCGCAAAACGATGTTTCCTATGGGTTTTTTTCGCTTTGTGATGATCGGTTCCCTGCTTCGCTAACCGATTATCGCAAAACGAAGATTTTCACACAGCTGATCGGCGGTTTCAAAATGGCCGCGGGTTTAAAAAATGGCTGCCCGCTGTTTTCTGGGACGGATTCCTCGCTGCACGGGCAGCGAAAATGGCCGTGTTATGGAGGATCTTTGCTGGACGGTGAGTTTCAAGCCCATAGGAACACATTAATCGGGTTTTAATGCGTTTCTATGGGCTTTTAAAAATCAATTTACGATGTTTTCGTTCTACAGCGATTTCGCTGGAACGAATTAACATTGTAATGCGAGGCACCACTGTATTGTTTTAAGTGAGACTGGGTTTGAACTTAAATTTTTAAAGTCAGTAAAATTAGTGAAAACTTTCCACTTGTTCTCATAGAGTTTCTGTGTGGAGGATTTCTGAGCCTGATCTAGGATTCTCTGGAAGGCGGGAGTATCCTCCACACTCAGAGATGGGATGTCTGGATGTAGAATCAAGCTGTTGTTCTGGGAGAGAAGATTCGTTAGTGATGGTAAGTGAAATATGTCTGATGCCATTTTCTTGAGGTGGGTGAACCATGGTTGACGTGGCCACCATGGAGTGATATGGCATTTGCTCGGCACTGAGTGATCCTGATGACTGTTTTCTGGATCATTACTACTGGAGTAATATATACAGCATTTCCCGTGTCCAATCTATCATGAAGGCATCTCCTAGATATTTGGGATCGATGCCAGCTCTTGAGCAGTATCTGGGACATTTGGTGTTTTCCTGTGGTGCGAAAAGATCTATTGATGGGTGCTCCCGCATTGACGACAGATCATCTGGAAAATACGATTGTCCAATGTCCATTTGTGAGTTCGAGTTGGTAGTCTGCTTAGATGATCCTCTATGTAATTTACTTCTGTTGAGATGTGAATAGCCACTGGGAAGATGTGATGTAAGTAACACCATTCCCGTAGATCCACTGTGAGGTACAGTAGGGCTAGTGAGTGGGTGCCTCCCTGCTTGTTTATATAGTACATGGTCATTGTGTTGTCTGTGACTAGTTGAACAGCTTGCCCTTCAATATGAGGTAAGAAGGCTTGAAATGCTTCAATATTTTGAGATGATTTATATGTAGTGATCTTTCTTTCCTTGTCCACAGGCCACGTATTTGGAGTTCTTGACAGTGCGCTCCCCATCCCGAGGGACTGGCATCGTGGTGACTTGACTAGATAATGTTAAGGGCTTGAAGGGTCTGCCAAGGGTCAGATGTGGAAGGAATGCCCACCAGGTAAGTTGGTCTGCTAATTCTGGTGTCACCACTAGATGTTTCGACTGGTGGTCTATCATGGGGTTGAATAGGGATAGAAACCAAGCCTGTAGTGTTCTCATTTTTAGTCTTGCATGCGTAATTACTGCAGTTGTAGAAGCCATCCGTCCTAGTAGATGTAGGGCTTTGTGTGTTGATACCATTGCATGAAGCTGGAATGGACGAATGCCATGCTTTATTTTGACAATTCTTTGTAGAAGTATGAATGCTCTTGCCTTCATGGAATTGAGATTTGTGCTGATGTAACTAGTTGTTTGTGATGGTTCTAGGCGAGATTTGGTGTAGTTCACCTTGAGTCCTAGTCTTTGTAAGGTGTCTAGGGTCATCTCTGTGGTTCTGGCAGTATCTTGATATGAACAAGCTACTATCAGCCAGTCGTTGATGTAAGGAAATATGGCAATTCCTCGAAGTCGTAGGTAGGCTGCAAATGGTGCCATACATTTTGTAAATGTCCCTGGGGCTGTCAATAGTCCAAATGGTAGGGCACAGAATTGATATGTTGTGTTGTTGAATCAAAATCTGAGGAATTTTTGATGAAGGGGATGTATCAATATATGGAAGTACGCATCCTGTAAGTTGATGACCGCGAACCAGTTTCCCTGTGAGAGAAGGGGGATAATGGTATTGAAAGTTAGCATATGGAATTATCTGGGTCGAATAAATTTGGGGTGAAGTTCTCCATCCTTCTTTGGAACGGTAAAGTATTGAGAATAAAACCCTTCATTAATTGCAGAAGGTGGGACTCTGATTATGGCTTGTTCTTGAAGAAGTGATGATATTTCTTCTTGTAGGGCTAATGAAAAATCATTTTTAGTAATATTGAATGGTGGGGTTTTGAAAAATTCAATGAACAGTGATGCCTCGACTTGTGAACGTTTCGAGTTACGAATGGCTTTGGTCGCAAAATGTCGCTTCGACTTGCGAATGGAGCCTCGACTTATGAATGAAAAAAACCTTTCCTGCCCTTTTTTTTAACCTAAGTTCATCTTAGGTCAAAAGAAGAAGAAAAAAATAATCCCCCTAGTGGTAGAGTACAGATTAACCGGCTTTGCATTAGTTCCTATGGGAACTAATGCCTCTACTTACGAATCAGCACCTCGACATACGAACGAAAAACAGCCTGAACGGATTAAATGGTTTTCAATGCATTCCTATGGGAAATCTTGCCTTGACTTACAAACCTTTTGATGTACAAATGCCGTTCCAATAGGGATTAAGTTTGTAAATCGAGGAACCACTGTAATATCCTGTTTGAATTATGGATAGGACCCATTTGTCACTCCTTATTTCTTTCCATGCCGGTAGAAAATCATGGAGTCTTGTTTGGAAAGATGCTTGTAAAGGGTTATGAATATTGCTTACCCTTTCTTTGCTGTTTTCGAAAGGGCTCTCTTGCTCTCTGTGGTTGCTGGGTTCTGAACTGTGAAGTCAATGTAGAAGTTGGTAGGCAAGGTCTTTCTTGATGTTGTTGTTGGTATGGACGAAAGGACTGCCGATAGTGGTATGACTGTTGTTGATAATATGGTTTTCGGTATGAAGGCTTTTGGTATATAAGATTTAGCTTTCTTTCTGAGTTTATGATCCATGCTAGGTAGCTGCCTGCCCTGATGATCGAGGGCCGAAAAGGGCTATGGCCGGGCCGGAATGTACATCAGCCTGAGACTGGAGACAAACTGGCAATTGAGTGTGCTGCTTGTGCCGATGTCAATGTATGGTCTTCTCTATCTGAGGAGACTGGTGCCTCTAGAAATGACTCCTCCAATATCGGTGAAGGTAATGAGGCCGGTGGAGGTTCTATGATGGTTGTCTTTGACATTTTGTTTGGTTTTTTTGGTTTATCCTTATCCTTTTTCTTTTTTGCAGGATCGTCAGAGCGGGTCTGGGCTTTAGGCGTGGGGGTTGAGCCGGATTTAGATGACTTTTGTGACTCCAGATTTATTTGGGACTGATGTCATGCTTTACACAGAGTGAGTTGCTGGACTAGATATGGGTCATGTTGTTTCAGACCAATTTTGCTGTACCGTTGATGGTGAAGCCCCTACTTCCATAGTTGGGTTCAGGGTCTTTTTGTACAAATAGGATTTAAGACATTGAAGTCGTAACTTGCAGGTTTTGTCAGCTTCTTACAATCAGGGCACAATTGGGTTTGGTGGTGTTCTCCCAAACAGAATAAACATTTGTCGTGCCAGTCAGTAAGAGGTATTTTCTTTAGGCAAACAGTGCACCTCTTAAATCCTGGAGAGGCCATAAACTTTGGGAAAATTTGGGGGGAGGGGGCGGACCGTCCGGGAGGGAATGCGGGAAAGCGAAAACTGTTGTAAAAGGGGGAAAATAAAGTTCAATTACTACAGGAAATAACTAACAATGATCTAATTGAGGATAATCACAGTGAAGAATGATTAATTTCAAGAAATAATAGGTTTACTTTCCTTTCTCGATCGCTCTAGTGTTCCTAATTTACTGACCTCGCGGTAGAAAAAAAGGAACTGAGGGGAAGATTGGAGGGATGGAGCTTGCACTTCAAAGGGGGTATCTTATTGTCAAATCTTTTTGAAGCTACTTAAACTTTCGAAACATTCTGCGCAGGCACAGAAGAAACCCACTTATGTGCATTCACGAGGCCACGATGAAAAATCATACTGATTGCTCTGACCTCACAGAGAAAAGGCAGGATATAAAACTAATACATCAACTAGAAAAAGTAGTTCATCTCCATGTGCTTATTTCAGGTACAGCCACTGTATGGACCTTGAATTAATCACCTCAGGAGGTGAGCCCTATGTAAGCCAACTGCTATCAGTACTGCTGAATGAATACAAGTTTGCATTACTCAACAGTGGGCTGAGAAGCGCTATGCCCATTACACTTTGTTTGAAATAAAGCCCCTTGTTTCCTGTTAACAACAATGAAACTGGTCTAACTGACTTAGTGGCTAAATTACAAAACAATTAGTATCGAACAAATCAATAGAAACTTGAAAAAGCAAACTAACATTCACTTTACCACCATCAAAGTTTCATTTGAAAAAATGTCTTCCCAAATCCCCCCAGTCTCCATGACAGACTCATAAAGGTGTTCTAATGTTAAACGGCGAACATGGAGATTTGGGATGATATTTTCATACTCTAGAGACAAATCACCTTTATCAGCACTGATATCATAAAGAGTCAACATAATCTCAGTAACACCCTTTCTCTCCAGCTCCAAAAAAGAAACTGGAATAATATTCCCTGGAAGTCTAGGTGGTTTAGTTAGAATGATCTGGTCGGGCAGCAATTTATGGCAAAATTACTTCATCTGCAACCAATAAAACCTACCTCTAAATTTGTGTCTGTTCATATAAACTGATGCACACCAGTAAATATGTAAGTTATCAGCTTCATGACTAGAACTACAAGCTTTATGTCTGAAGAAATTTCACCCCTCTCCCATTCCACATACAGAAGCTGACTGGAGTACTAGTTAAATAGTAGCAATGGAAAAGCTTCCTCTACCACACTTGAGGGTAGGAAGTCAGTTTAGAGAACAGGAACACATAACACTGTCCTCCAACAGAAGGAACTGCCAGAGGCTCACAAAGAGCAGCCAAGGAACAGCTGCTGTTGCCCCCACCCAAAAACAGCCTCTGTGGTACTGCTAGATAGTAAACTCTGGATCAGGCGTTGCCCTCACTGTGCCTAATGAAAAGGATGGTTCCCACAATATTGCAAGCCAGGTACCTAAACCCCCTAGAAAAAGAATCCATTTAACAGAACACATTTTTGTTTGCAATGCATTTTATAATCCTTGACTAACTATTCTCTCAATAAACCTGAAGCACAGATGTGTTTCCTCCTGTCTTAAAGATATGAAGAATTTCAAAAGCTGACAGTCAGCCTTCCTAGAGCAGTATAAACACTGATCAAAGCAGTATCTTCTGTCTAATCTCAAGGTCACCTGACCAAAACACAAAGCAGCTTCATGCAACTAAGCGGGCATGGCAACCTGACTGGGAGGGAAGTCCTAAAGGAGGCCCGTCATCTCAAGTCCTGGCAACCTTTGCCAAACCTCACTATCCCAAGGGAAAAAAATGTGTGCAAACTATACTGTGAGTTAAGTGGGATAATTGAAGTATAACGTGGGAAAATCCTCACCTGGCTCCCTCTTAAATAAGATAGTTTTCAACCCTGTTTAATGTTTTCTCCTCTACTATCTGAATAATCAATCACAATTCTAATTAGCAAATCAAAGATAGGAAGATGACTGCCACCTTCCTCAATACTGACCTTTTTGGAGAGTGGCACCAAGCTGCTGGGTCGAACAAGACGTCGCTTCTTGCAGCTGAGGAGAGGGCGTGTGCGGGCTGCTACACAGGTTCCATCAGGAGCTGAAGACACCATGTTTAGTCTCTGTTTTTTACGCAACAGCTCCTCTGTATCTGAGCTGTCTCCCTGAGCATGCTCCGTCAAGCCTGGCTGTAGACTGCCAAGGGACAGAAATGCAGTGCATTAGGTGTTTTTACGCCATCCTCCATCATGACCTCCCTATGAAATACCCACTAATTTTAAAGACAAATCAACCAGTAAATCCATGGGGGTAGCAAGAAACTCAAACCAAGGCCTAAAATCAAATATCTTTCGTTGTTATTCTCCACCTGACATTTTAAGGCTCTTGGTCTTGGGTGGTGACACAGAAAGTTACTTTAAAATGACTGACCCTATGGGTCCATCTTTCTCAGAAGGTTTCTACATCAGGAGTTGAAGTCATGTGAACTATGGGCCACATACAGACCACCCCCCACATTGCAAAATGCTTGATTAACAATACCTCATCTCCCTGCCCTTACCCCTTTCTATTGTAGCCTTTCCCCACCCAGTGTACTGTGGATGTGCCATACTACAGTTCCTATCACCCCCAGACACTATGGTCACGGGCTGGGTGCAGAAAGTCAACATCTCTGTAGGGCAGTTGGATGAGAAAGGTTATTCTATTCACTATCGATCACCCTATTCTTCCTCCCTAAGCAATCCTGCCCCCAGCCTTTTCCAGTCTCACAACTAAGTGTGTGCTCTTTTATATTTTTAGATTGGCAAGTCCCTCCCCCACACCCTGAAATGTCCAGGAATCCCCAAGGCAGAGATCTGGGAGGTGCAGCCCACAAACTTTAAGTCTGCAGACCAGCTTTCCGGATTATTTGCCTCTGTCACTGCCTTCCCCAGCCTGCTTCGATTTTCAAAACAAAGGACGCCACCACAGTGCTACCTGGGCATCATAGGTCTTTCTGGGAGTTTAAAGGTGATTGGGAGACACACTCTATAGAAACCTAATGGGCAACAAAATTATGACTCCTAGCATCTTCCATGCTGAAACAGACATTCCCCCACTGGTCAGACATGTGTCAGAGGAGGTGGATGACTGATCAGCAGAGATAGGCATGGATGATGCTGAGACTTACAATCTTGTGGCCCATTAGGGATGCCTCCCAAAGAACTAGAATGCCCAGGTAGCACCAGAGCGGCTAATTTCTGAAAGGAGAAACAGGCCAGGGAAAGCAGCAATAGAGGTATGTAGCTAGAAAGCTTGTCTGCAAACTTATGTTCCTGCCCGGGTTATTCCTGGACAATTTGGTGGGTGTGGGTTGCAGTCAAAAATACAAATGTAGACTTCCACTCTCAACTATTTTATGTAGACCATATGACTACTTTAAAAATGGTATAGGCTGGGGTGATCAGCATTCACGGACCTGACAACTGTTTGCTCCTTCTATAAGGGCTACTCACTACCTGGCAAGTGCATGAGACCCCACATCTTGTACTTTGCCCACCATGGTATTTACTGCTGTTAAATGGATTCTACAAACCTTTGGAAGAGCCCAATTCACACACAACTATAAACCCTAGTACCACCAAGGGACTTACTGAGATTACAGTTCACGTTGGTGCCCTCCAGAGCTGCTGAATACCCAGAATTCCTCAGTCACCATATCTTGAACTAGGGAATTCTGGGAATTGAATGCAACACCTGCTCTGTTCTAGAATAGGGTGCTCCCAAAAATAGTTCCACAGATGCTGATGGGTGATTCCTAGAAATCCCAGACAGCAAGGCCAGTGGTCAAGGATTCTGGGAGTTGCACTCCAGGAATGTTTGGAGACCTCAAGATTAAGAACGACTATTCTAAAGTACATATGCATATTTCTCTCAAGAGGGCCTCTTCAAAAGCCTTACGTGTTAATGACTCCATTGACAGGTCTTGGTACTCCACAGGTTTTGGCAGGTAGGGACTCTTGGGTATTGCCAACGGATGTACAAAGGCTCTCTGGTGGCTGAGAGATGCATGTGCCCTGTGGTAGAGGAGAGAGGAAGAACCCCTGTCAGTAGTTGTATGATTCCTGGGGAAAGCTAACAGTTCCAGACCTTAACATCACACAGCACTAAAATATCACTTAGAGTGATCCGGTACCCCAAGGTTTAAGATTACTGCCCTTGCAACAGCTGTTTTTTTGTGTGTGTATGTTATGCAACAGGATGGCTGACAATTTCAAAATCCCTCTTGAATCTGGAAACACCCAAGGAGACAGTGTTCAGCTATCACAAATACTCTTAAAGCAAAATTTGCTTTGGAACAAAAGGAGGGTAGACATATTGGTCTTATTTTAATTTTGGGCTGCCCACTGTCACTATGTAACCTACTTATTTTTATGGAAAGAGCTTCATACTGAAGGCCCCCTTCCTATATTAATTTCTGAAAACACATGGACCAAAGGAAGACTGTGCCAGAATTAACACATCTTGACATTTCCCAGAAAACATGCAAGCAAGGTTCCCTGTAAGCCAGAGGTCCCCAACCCCCGGTCCATGATCCGATGCCGGGCCGTGGCGTAAGCCAGACCGGGCAACGGAGACAAACCTAGCACTCACTCATCCCTGCACAGCTGATTTGTGCATGTGCGTGCACTCCAGCGCACCTGTGCGAGTGCTGTGCCACTGTTTGCGCATGTGCACGAGTACGCCCACACCCATACAAATGCCGTGTCGCAGTTTGCATGCATATGTACTCATTCACGCATGCGCACAGGGGGGTGCCCTGCCTTCCCCAGCTGGTCCATGGGGTGAAAAAGGTTGGGGACCCCTGCTAAGCTGCAGAGCTGTACAGGCATGTAGTACTGCAACCCCTTTGCACCCACAATGAGTGTTTTCCTGTCCCTTTAGTCATGGCTGGGGACCCCATGTGGAGGACAGAAGCGCATGGGGGAGTGGAATAGCACGCGCAAAAGAAGCCCTGCCAAGAAGAGCTGAAAATTAGAGGGAACGCCGCACATAAGCCATTAGAAACAGATCCAGAAAATGTACAACTCTTATTGGGGGGAATACTCTTCCATGTAATTATTTTCACCCATTTTAAGATTGTTCACACCCATTTAAGATTGTTCAGAAGGCAACCTTGAAACGCTAGTTTTAAAAAAAATCTTTCTTTGCTAACCTTAAGAAAAAACTACATTGTCGGCTCTCATGTCTGAAAAAAAAAAAGGAAACCAGCTCTAACAGCATTGTGATTATTTATTTAAATGAACAGTTCAAATGAAGCAATAGTTCACAAATGATCTGAGACTGTTCAGGCTGATATATTTTGGCTCAAATATACAGTATATAACGTTCTATAGCAATGTATTCATTTTTAATGTATAATAGAAAAAATGAATAATCGAATAAAGTAATACATTTATGTATCCCAGATACTTCATATTATGTTAATAAAACACAACAAATCCACAGAACAAATCTAAACATATTAAAACAGGGCAAAATTTAAAAATGGCAGAGGTAGACAAAACACAACCCAAGTACTGTACTAATTCAGACCTCTAATGTTTACAAGAGGCAGGTAGGTTTATTAGCTACAAGAAACATGGTAGAAAATTTTATGGCACTTTAATGATGGTCATATTTGTTATGGCGTAAGATTCTGCAGATCAGAATCCACTTCAACAATTTCACAAACTATCCTTAGGTACACAGGTGTACAGAAAAAACAATGCAAACAGTGGGATCAGGCAGAAAGAAATAAGATGCAAAAATAATACACCTGTCAAGTGAGGGCAAAACTTAAAGCATCTGATGAAAAGGAATCTAATATATAAAAAAGCATTCTATAATAAGTTTGCTACTTTTATAGGTTTTATTCCCAATCCTGAAACGGCTACATGACTAACAAGTGAACTGCTGAGTTTGCTGGCACACATTGGCCACAGAACAGGCTTCTACAAGGGTTATATACATAGCTGGATCTGCTCTGCTAACCTCTACACATCAAGATTTTTTGCACACCACAGGAGATATTATACAGGGACATTATTTATTTGCTTCTCAAAAGCAGGTAAGGAAACAAAGCAGCTAGCTTCTTTAGGGCCAATCCCATCCGGCCCCTCCCTGCAGCTGATCACTTCTGTGTGAAGACAGAATAGGGGAATCTCCCTGCTCAGCCAATAAGTGGTTGGCTGCATGGGGAGGCAGAGAAGGGTCGGCTGGGCTTCTGCTGGGATTGGGGCACTGCTACTGAACAAGGATCTCAGCGCCACACAGAGCCTATGGACTGGCCAGTTCTGGGGGAGGGGAATTGGGCCCCAGTGGCATCTGTGGTGCCGCAGGTCATATTTGTATCCCTGCGATACGACTAGGAAGTGCCCGTGTCTAATATCAGCCTACATGTTCATGTTAGACTTGGAATCAGCAGGGAAGTCTCAAAGCCCATTAGCATAAATTCTTCCAGCATATCTCCAAAAAGGATGATGGTCTATTATGGCTCTAGGTAATTTGCATGTATAAAATTACACAGTCCATTCTGTAGCACAGCCATTCTCAACCTTTTTTTGCCACGGTCATAAACACAATAAGAAAAATATATAGGCTGAATCAGGATTACATCATTAACAAACCTTACAAGGGTGTGTGTGAAGACCTGTTTACAGTCTGTGGCCCCATTCAATGTGCCAAGGTCGCCCAGGGGGCCATATGACACTTGTTGAGAATGTCTGACTAGCACATTCAACTAAAGAAAAGTTCAGTGTTGTTGTTGGGAAGAATCCCTGCTGGAGGATCACTGTCAATCAAATCAGGCTATGTGGTCCTGTAAAAATCAACCCAACTCTACCTGTAGATGCCAACATTAATGAAATCTGCCATGCAACCTCCACCAACTGTATCCAAAACATGTCATTACATTCTGGAATAGCATGCATGACATCAAGGTCCTTCTTCATGCCATCTCTAGTGAGATTCCCAACTATCCTACTCCCCTATATTCTAAGATAGTTAGAGACATCTCATAGGTACAAGCATTTTTCGGAAATCAGGGCAACACTATCAGATTACCTGTAGATTATGGCAAACTCTGCAGGCAAAAGTTTGCAATCTGTCCTGTATATGTATGAGGTATTTGCATGTAATAATGTGCAAATGGTAATTTCCATGTTAATCATGTAGGATCAAAAGCATGAAAATTAGCTACAGTCCGTAGGGTGCACAGACAAAATGTAATGTGGTTGCAATCGTGCAACTTGCCTGGCCAAACACAGCTTTACAGATGCTATTACACTGTTGTAGCATACACACCACTTTCCTTAGCTAGGAAATGTGAAGCTGACCTACAGAGAGCCTGACTACTATGTAAGAAACAGTCCTGCCAGCTCTGGGGTCAGACAACCTGTTAGCCTTCCAAAGTTCTGAACTACAATGTCTGTCAGCACCAAACATCCTAAGAGCAGAGGTCTTTCCTATCTTTGCTACCAAAGATACCACAGATTTAAACTGGGACCTGACATATGAAGAGCAAACGCTTTATTATTTATTATTATTTAATTAAAATAATTATATCCCACTTTACTCCTTAAGAGGAGCCAAAGCGGCTTAAAATATTAAAAACAAAATGAAACAAAACAAAACACAGCAACCCGACTGTTAGGCAGTCAATGAAAAAAAGCCTGTCTGAAGACAAAAGTCTTTGCCTGCCTGCCTGCCTGAGGTAGGACAGTGAAGAGACCAGCCAGACTTCCTGTGAAAGGGAGTGCCACAATTTGGAAGCAACAGAGAAGGCTCTCTTTCATTTCCTCAGCATTTACTTGCCTGCAAGTGGAAAGCAACCCTAAGAAATGTCCAGGCACAGCTGGAAAGAGACTGAAATTTTAAAACATTAAAATAAATAAAATGAGCTCAAATGTTAGAAGTTTGAAAACTGCAGAAGAAAGAACCCTTGAGGAAAACAAATTCTGTAATCCCGCCCCCCCACAAACAACCACTATTAGCAACCTAATTAAAAATAGTCTTGTGCGAATGAAAGGAATCTGTTCCACCAAATTTTAAAACATTTTTTCTGGCATCCCAGGTGGCCTTCCAGATGATATCAGACTCCAATTCCCCCGCCAATATGCCATTGATCAGGGATTATGAGAGATGCAGTATAACAACACCTGGAGGTCATAAGTTGCTCATCTGTGACCCATATGATGTCTACTTTATGTAATACTGCAGAAACTGAAGGATGTAATAACAATTAACACTGAAAGTTAAAAAAACTACAGCGATTACACGTTTGTATGTCTCTCTTTAAAAAAAATAAAGACAGATTCTTGCTTGTGCCTTCAACATTTGTTAAAAAACACACTTATCTTTCCCATGGTTCAAACGTAGAAAATATAATTTGCATATAGAAATAATTATACAGAGACCCGAGAAAAAGAAAATGCTGCTGAAAAGAGAGCAGCAGGCAGGTCTATGCTTGCCTCTGTACAGGAGCCTAAGCACTGAGCCAAGCTGGTTTAGACCTTTGCGCATGCCAGTTTTGAATGTTCCTGCAGTTCTCTATAAAGAAACATCAAAGCAATCAAACTGGGATTTCCTGGAATACTGGGGCAAAAACAACAGAAGAGAGATAGCCAAATAGCAGAGGTTTTACTTAGATTTTTAAATACCAAAATGCACATATTTTTGCTGGATAGTTTCCCTGCTGCAGCCCGCAGGATAGCAGTAATATACACATAGGGGCTCTACAGGGAAGGAAATCAGATAAAGGAACAGAGCAATATGACATCAATATGAAAGCTGGGAGGAGGGGATGAAAGGTATGAATGAATGAATCTATTTGCAGCCAACTCATCATTTGAAAAATAGCTCTGAAGAGACAAAAGATCACACACAGAGAGAGACATTATAAACATTTAAAAATCATATATGACACTGCCAAACATAAGTTAGGAACTAACAACTGATTAGCTTGAATATATGATATTCACCAATTATTTCAAATTGTTCAGTAATAAGAAAACATCTGTCCATTTAAGATTTATGTAACAAGAGAATCACCTGAAACTGGATGACATCAGAGAGCATTCATCAGTATTTCTGCCCTTGGTACTTACCAGTCTCTCAGTCCCAGGTTCTAACTTGACCTCAACACTAAGAGTGTGGGATGAGTCACCTAATATGGGGTCAGAGGGAGGTGCTTCACCAAGCAATATCAGGCCCTGAAAGGCATGGAAAGAAAGCTGTCAGGCCAGGTTAAGTCTCCAGACAAGAATTAAATCCATGAATACATATCTACCGGTTCTTTTTCTATTGCCTCCTTAAAATTCTGATTTACCCGGGTAGCTTCTCATAGACATTGCCTCAAACCTGGAAAAGTTATTTTAAAAACACATTCAAAATGATTAAGGCACTGACTACTAGAGCAACTTTCGTATGAAGAAAAGTTAGAATGTCTGGGGCAGTTCCGTTCACAGGGCTCAGAGTTAAACGGATAATTTCATCCCAGAAGTAGTATTGATAGCTGCCAATCTGCATGGCAAGATAATGGACACATTTATGGAAGATGGGGTGGCTAGTTACGACTGATGTGCCTCTGAATGTCAGTCACTGGGGGAACGCAAATGGGAACTTGCAGTTGTTCGTGAGATTCTTGATGGCAATTCACTGGGCATTACTCTGTTTCCCAAAAATAAGACCTAACCTGAATATAAGGTCTAGTATGATTTTTCAGGATGCTCACAATATAAGCCCTACCCCAAAAATAAGCCCCAGTTAAGTGAAACCCCACCCTCCACCATTATGCAGCATTGTGCAACAACCAGGAAAAGATGACATGACTGTAAAATAAAACATCCCCTGAAAATAAGCCCTAATGCATTTTTGGAGCAGAAGTTAATATAAGACCCTGTCTTATTTTCAGGGAAACATGGTATTTAACTATGAAATAAACATTCTAAATACTTAAAGCAGCTTTGCTTTAAAACTGATGAAAAAAGTACTAAGGATGACACTTCTATTCAAAGTGGAAGTACACTGCATTTTATAGACAACTTCTCCTTTATTCTTTTTCTCTCTTAACGCACACAGTTTTTCATTCAACACTCTCCACAAACATCTACCTGAAATTTTTGACTATTTTGACAATTTTTTAAAATGTAACCAACATATTCTTTAAGTCAACTAAACCCCTATCCCAACTTCACATTATCTTTTTCAGCTGACATAAAGAAGGCATTATCCTTTGCTGTTTACCCATACTGGTAAAATGTCTGGGCCCTCACTGATTCCTTATGCAGAGCATAAAAAGAGTTAAGACAGGTCAACAAAAACAGGAAGCTGGTATTTAGTGCACATATAGTCAAATACAGTGTAGTATCTATAAAATCTAAATATAACACATTCACAGAGGAAGAAGGCAAAAGAGGGGAAAACGGGTAAGGGAGGAGAACCGGGCACAGGGTCGGGCCGGCCAGGCTGGTGTTTATTTAGGCTTGACAGGGAAGGGCTCTTCACTGAGGAGGCTTTTTTGGCAGGGGATGAGACATGAACGGAAGGTCATTTCTGCACCCAAAAAAAGTAAAACTCAAAATGTATAAATTTTTCTCTTTTAAATTTTATCTGGTAAAGGCAGATTTACAGCCCCCTCTCATAATATTGTATTATCACCTTAATATGAATGTATTAGGGTAGAATTATATTCTGATACATAAATCTAATTCAATGTGTTTTCTTAATCCCATTAAAAATTTATTTTAATGCAAATGTGGCCGGGGGAGTCACAGGTTACTTGGCTATTACAAAAGGGGGCCACAACATGAACAAGGTTGGGAAACACTGATATAAATAAAGCACAGTTAAATCCAAATGAATTAGATATTACAAAAACTCCTAGTGTGTCACAGACTTCCCATATTCTTACAACGTAAATGAAGATGACTAATTTGATAAAAGCATCCAATATGACATTTTCAACGCTGAAGTAATGTACAGTTCTTATGAAAGCCGCTCAGAGTGGTATAGATTTTGCTGAAGTAATGTACAGTTCTTATGAAAGATTCTTTCCAGACATGCTGGGAAACACACATACCTCAAAAAATGTTTTGCTAAAGCAATGCTTCCTGCTTTTGTTTCCTGCAGTGGTTCCAGAACTACCATTGATTGTGAATGTGTGCGAGCACATACATTGTTTTTTTAATTTGTTTTGTCAATGGGATGAAATCACAAAAACCCCACAAAACTGTCACCAGTTTGCATCCTACCAACATTCTGTCACAGAATCCTTCCTCCACTGCCCAAAAGTGCAATTATAAGAGCACAACCATAGTTCATATACAAACTTTTCAGGTACAAAAGAAGAGACACACTGGCCCTGTTCAAAGCACAAATGTGAAACGTTTTCAAGACAAGAATTTTTGTCTCCATGTCAATCTGTCAGTTCTCTCCACCTGCTTTTTGGCATTTCAGAGTACTCATGCAATACATGCACTGGTGTGTTACCTAGCCTAATCTGTAGGGTGCACAGATGAAGTAGGTGGACAGGTGAAGTACATACACTGGTTCAAATGAGGGAAACCTAAAGAACTCTGCCTTTCTACAAGTTCCAATAAAAATGATCTTATCTGCAGACCCAAACTTCATGTGCAGGTCAGAATCTGACAGGATTTGATTGTTTTTATGATTTAAAAAAATTTACATTTAAAAAAAATTAAATTGTGATTTAAATCATGATTTAGAGACAATTGATTTTAATCCAGCCTGGAATCTGATTACCCACAGCCTTTCCTCAATTTTCCAACATAAATCCTTGGTTTTATAAACTGTCAAAATGGTACTTAAAAGGTTCACATTTTTCAAATAATACAGTTAGAAATGTACTTGAAGGTGTGAGTTTTTTGAAGCTGTTGCAATAAGTGCAACCATGTAATGTGGAAACAGGAGAAAACAGATTTACTGAGTGAACACATGCGAAAATGCCACAGAACAAAAATTAGAGTATCTCATGGAGAGAGAGAGGGAGGAAGGGAAAGCAATTTAAGTGTCCCCTACTATTTAATAGATGCAATTACAACCAAGAAAAAAAATCTAGAACGAGTCTTGGACAATAACTGCATCAGATTAAACTTCTGAGTCAGATGGAATGTGCTGAACTATGCGTTTCATTTCCATGCCATCTCCAAGGTTAGAATTAAAATGGTGGATGCTATATTTTAGCTTGTGCCTCAGCCACTCCATCTCTACTGAGGACTTGACAGAGTCGCCTTGGCCCAGATGAGTGGGATGGATGAACAGACAGACAGATAGAACGACAGAAGAAAGGTTTGAACTACTGTTTTACTTTGCCTTCGAGACGTGATTTGCGGAAGTCTGATTCTTCAACTTTTTTTTTTTAAAGCTGTTTTACACTTCAGTGGCCCCCAACCTTTTTGCCTCGATGGACTGGTTTAGCATGCGGGCGGTGGTGTCCGTGGGAGGGGCCGTGCGTGTGTGGGAGGGGCATGCATGCATCTGCGCATGGAGGGGGGCAGGAGATTTGTATCCACGGCCTGGTCCTGGCAAGGTGGACCCGCAGACTGGAGGTTGGGGACCCCTGTTTTAAAAGAATAAACTGATGTAGCCATTTCTGCTGAAATACAGTGTATATGTCTCAATTAACTAGAGGTAAGATGCATACTAAAGCTCATGAAAAATTAACGCCATCATTTCTAACCAACAAGAGAAGTATTGTATGATTATGCAACGGGAACCAGGACTGATAATTCGTCTCTACAGTCCCATCCCTACACCTCGCCTGGGTTCCAAGGCCAAAAGTTACTCAGGAGGTCAGAGAAAATATAACAGACCTTCGTTTTTGGCTGTTGCCTTCTTCCAAAGTGGAAACAAATATTATTTATATTTGCATATTATGGCAGCACTGTTTAATTGGATCACGAATATTAAGTTGAACTAATACTTATTTTTCTCATTCTGTCAAGGAAATCAACAGCAATTAAGTAGGGGTTTGTTTTTTGGGGTGACAGCAAACCTTGCAACTCATTTACTCTTGTTCATCTCACTATTTTCAGCAGGGACCATATCATTTATTTTTGCTCTTCTTTTTCAGCACTGAAGGAAACAATATGGGTTGTATCCAGACATACTCATACTCAAATTGAATCCATGAAAATCAATGAGAGTAAAGGCAGTCATGAGTACAACCCTGCATCTGCTCATATTGTTTTTATCTTTTAAAAAAACCAAAATCATATGAACCTAATACATCTAATAACATAACAAAAACAAGAAAATCTACACAAATGTTGCTCCCCCCCCCCAAGGAGGCTCCAGCCAATGGGAGCTCTCACCAAGTTGAACAAAGAGCTAGCAAAGGCAAGAATGCAGCTTCTGGTCACAAGAGGGACAGAGCTACAGAAAGGCCAAAGAAAGAAACTAAACAGAGTGCATTTATAGCTTATGAAGTTACACCGAGCTACCAGAGAAATAGAGGCTCATGGATTATTGACAGTGGATGTTCACAGCATGCTACTCATGACAAAACATTTTTTAAAAATGGACTATTTGGAGATACTATATAAGCAATTTTTTTCCTCCCTCTATGGAGCCCCATTCCCCTTCCAAAATTGCACTGACTCTTGCAAAGTTAAACATCCCCCTTCCCTTTCTAAAATACAAAATCAATAAATTCTCCCCCAAATCTATAAAATATTCTTATTAACCCCTTATTTACTTTTATATTACATGTTAACCTATCATTATTAGCAATATCACAAGTCTCTCAACATCATTGGTCTAACTGGAGGTCATATTTTATTTTCCAGTTCCTAGCTATAATTAATTCTGTCACTGATAATAAATTGAAAATTAATTATTTAACGGTCCAGTTACACTGATCACTATTAAATATTGCTAGAAGTGCTATTATAGGACATATCTCTAAATTTAACTTAGTTATTTCATTTATCTCCTTGAAAACCAATTGCCAACATGTCAATATAGTCTCACACTCTCACCACATGAAAACCTGTTTTCTGACATCTTCTCCAAAACAATTTGGAGCAATTCATGTCTATCTGACTTAATTTCACCAGAGGTAAATACCATCTCCAAATTAACTTATAAAAATGATCTTTTATCTTTACATAATAGGTTTCAATTTTCTTATATCCCCTATGTTTTTCCAAACCATGGTATTTGTTTCTTCTCCCAAGTTATACTCCCATAA